ACATTTGTGTTGAACCCCGCGACCCCGGGTGCCCCCTCTACTTGTTCACTCCGCTCGCTGTTGTTGTGGAAACACAGGGGGGTCAAGAGAACTATGGCCATTAGTCTTGGTTGGTTAGTCATCTGTAGGATTCGACCCATTATTTGGATTTTTTGTGATCTCTAGATACTCGTAGATTCTTTACTTGTCTAAATCCCCCAGGTATGGAGTACTTTGTGGTTTAGGGAAGTCCCTGTACTTTAGGGATATACCGTGGGGGTAGACTGAGCTACGACGTATCAATAGTGGGTCCGATATGGGGGTATGCCGGGCGATACAGTTGTGACACGTTGATGTACATTGTGTGGTGTTTGTGTGACGGGTGGTCAGGCCGGAATGTGGCCGACCACCAGTACGTACGCGGGGGTGCGTTGCTCCCCGCTCTGTTACCCGCTTTGGCTCACTGCCACGCTCCGCACGGGCCTCGCGGCCCGGGGAGCAAGCTGCCTTGCAACCCGCCGTCTTCGAACGGCAGGACCGCCCGATCCCAGAGCGCAAGAGGGCCCACCGCGCAACGAACGAGCACCCCGATTATGCCCGCCAGACTCGGCGGAGGGGCCATCGGCCCAACCGGGTGCAGGCGGATGAAGTGGGACGCGCGCGACAAAGGGGACCAGCGGAGGCCATCGAAAAGGGCCCCGCAACAGTTGTGCCCCTCCACGGGCCTGGCACCCGCCGGCCTGCATCCCCCGCCGCCGATTCACAGCGCGGGTCCGCGGATCACGCCTCCCGCTGCCGGGTCCGGATGCCCCTCACAAGTGGCGTCCTCTGATGCCTTGATCCGGCGGTCAATTCCCGCGGAATGCACCCCCCGCCATCAGACTAGGCGTGAGAAGCAGCAGCATGGGCCCCCCCTCCACAGGGGTAGGCGCTCGGTCCGGTTCGGATTCCCTGGCCAATTCAGGCGCCGCCGCGAGGCGCCCATCTGGCCGGCCGATGTCCCCAAGTTCCACTCGATTGGGGGGCCCCTCGCGGGTGGGGCTCCCCCCTCTTGCTCTCGCGCCATGTTGCGCGCTTCCGTCATCCGCGTCCGCCAGCTCCGAAACCACCTGGCGTGGTTTTCGATGTGTTCGCGGGCGATGCGCCCACCAAGGCGCCCGATGGGGCCGCAGGGCCCCCTCCGCCGGATGGCCGGCGGGCTTTGCAGGGCGCTCGTCTGTTCGGATGCGCAGTGTGGGCCCAGGCCTGCGGATTGGCCGGGCGCAGGGCGGCCGTACACACAGTGGGTACGCGCGGCGCCTTGCGGCCTGCGGGTGCAGCCGCTGGGAGGCGAGTGGGCACGAATGGAATTACAGGCTGTCGTGCAGGGTCGGTCACATGACCCCCACATGCAGCGGTGCAAAATCGACATAACATGTATCGAATGTACCTGTATTGATAGTATCTCATCCCCGAGTATGGTAGGGGCCCAACCTTAAGTACTGCAATTTCTATAAGCTATAACTCCTCTACCGCTAACCCGTTTGGGATGATTCAAAGACCTATGAAAAGCTAATAGCCTCCTCTGTCCCATCTAGGTATAATCTTGTGTCCATTATCACTTCCCAATATGTAACCTGAGTAAACCAGCTACCCCCTAGTAGTTTACACAACACCCGCCAAAGCCTGCCAGCTCCAAGGGCGCCAAACTAACGGCACCTTGGAAACTACGTACTTTGACTGACCCAAGCTATTAGAGGGGCCAAAAACCCGTTTGAATACAACTGCTACCGATTTGAATCCATGGTGCAGCCCACCCAACATCATCCTCGGTGGAAACATATGAACAATATAGTTAATTTCATATATGGGTTGTTTCGTTGTATGGTTATTTACATAAAGCTATTTGTATAATATCCAATTCCTCTAGTGGCCACGACCATTTGCTTGGGTTCACAGCCAATTCCAAAGTGATGTTCAGTTCTTGGAGGCTCTCCTTTCAAATGCAACTGAGCAATGGGTTTGATGGCTTTGAATGAATCTGGCTGGCACAATGCTCCTCATAATTGGATCCATTAGTTTATACTTCTTTTAAGGGAGCCTAACATAGGCATGTCGCACCATGCTCACAAAAATTGGTTGATAAACGAGTATGATGCTCAAAAGATGCAAGGGAAGCTTCACCGCTACTTCCTGAGATCCTTCCAGTGTAATCGAATACAAGTTGCTTCCTTTCAGTACTTAGGGTAGCAAGTAGTACACCCCGGGCTCGCCCACTGCACCGGCGATGTGCTCGAAGTTCTCCCCGCACCCCCTTGGCTGTGTTCCAGTACTTTAGGGGGCGTTGTATTCACCGCTGTACCCACAGTAGTACATTTTGGCGGCAATACGTGCCTTTGGGCGATTCCCACCGCCTGCACCTCACGTAAGGCAATAGCAGTTGCGTGGGGCGCTGGTACGATCGGTCATGTACATCAGAGCATGCCGACTTTGACCCATCCACCTCTGGCGTGGTTACGTAACTCTCAGCCCAGACTTCGTACGTGTCATGCTGGCCATCAGCTTCTTCCCATCATGAACCCCGCTGACACGTGTCACTTTCCGTGATGGAACAAATTCGCTCACGTGTACTCCACCCGCGACTGACATGCAAGCTAGCACCTCCACACCATGGGCCCTGCGGCGCCCCACGATGATTGGCACCTGCCCGCAGGGATTCCATGTGCACCAAAGCCAGAATCGCCATGGCTTTGCGCCATGGCTCATAGTGCTTCGCCCTAAACGAATCCCGGGGCGCCAACTCACACGCCAGCCCAAGACATCCCCCCGCACAGCGATCAGTCATCGCTGTGCTTACATCAGTCACTTGCTATGGCACCGAATCCAATCGGTGGTCGATCCCGCCGACCGTCAGCGATGCGGGCGTCCAGATGCCAGGATCTGCCATGCGAAAGGGCCAATCGCAACCTCTCAGCACACCAGACCGACCAGCAGGACACCAGAGACAGAATGGCTTCAAAGTCAAACTGTTACAAATGTCAACACTTGCAGTCAGGGGTTTGGTCTTTCCCCTGGCGTGGGCAACTCTATTAAATAGCCTTTGGGGGCAACAACATGCCTTCCCGCTCCCCAAACTGTTCCAACCGGAAGTGTTTAGAAACCCCCTTCGAAACAGCCCCCAAACTCCCCTAGAACTGCGTAAAAAGTCACCGCCTCAAAGCGAAACTCGCCCAGCTCTTCAACTGCCATGCGCACCTTCACAACCCGCCTTCTTACATCACAAAATGCGCCCCATGTCAGTCCGTTTGGACTGCGAATTCCGCGTCTCAGGTCATGAAACCGGGCTGTAAAACAGCATAGAATCAGGTTGGGTTTCGAACAGGAAATCCCAGAGCTGCACGGGGTTTCTCAACCTCCCAGCTTCATCCCTACACTCCTGCTCCCAGAACTTCTCTGAATCGCATGGAACCGGTGAGCATCCAATCCTTCCTCCACGTAGCTGCGATTTCCCTTGCGAAGTCGAGCTGCTCGCTTGTGTTCTACAGGATTTCCTGCTCCACAACCACTTCTCCTCCGCCCTCCTGCGCCTCAGCATCAACGCCCAACTCCCGCCGCCTCAGTAAATCCCTTTCATCTCTCCATACGCCCAAATCGAAGGGCTCTGCGAGGGAAAAGGGCACCCCCTCCTCTTCAGGCGTCCTCACTCATTGTATGATGAATTTTACCTCCCAGCGGATCGCGATTGGGAGGGGTCGCAAGACTTCCCAGCAGGTTATCGTGGCGTTGGCGGGTTCTACAAACTCGGACAGCATGGTCTGCCACCCGCGAAGGGGGATGGTCCAGATGGTCATGCTGTAGGAGGTCAACTGAAGCGCTGGAGGGCTGCAGGGCGCATAGGCGGGCAGTAGGGTGGCATGGCATCCGCATGGCGCTTGACATCAAATCCCCGGCTCTCTCATCGTACCCCTAAACTACTGGTTGTAATTTAGAAGAATTGGACAGCATTTCCCCCACATTTTGAGTATCGAGCTGCCTTTTCTGTCTTTCTTTCTTTCTTTACTTACTTCTCTATTCATATTATTAGCCCGTTTTTCACTTTCTTTGATGGCCTTTTAATGCAAAGATGACCTGTGAAACGGGCCATTTTGCAGGCACATCGAACAGGCATTTATGGTCGTTGGTTCGCACAGGTGTGAACGCCAATTTGAGGTATCAAAAACTGGCGTTTGTCAGCAATCAGTTGCGAGCATGGCAATGACTGGATATGCTCAGCCACCCACTGGGAAGCCACCGCAGTTGTCATATAAAGTTCGACATGCAGCTCTATCTCGCAAGTTACCTACACCCTCCTTCGCAGCCAGTGATGCAGATTGCTCCTTCCAAGGTTTTCCTAACAGATCTATTTACAATGCTCGGAAAACATTCCCTCCTCTCAAAATCTGCACACAATAGGCGACGCAATGGTGCTCATGTGCCAGCACCCATCGTCAAAGTGCACGCCAAACAACCCCTGCCAGTGGTGCTGCTAAGCTACAAATCAAGACTTCCATGTCATGAATATCGACTCGTCCTTGTGCTGTTGAAGCTACAAGCACGGATAGCACTCAAGACGATTTCACCTTGCATTAGCTACACAAATATTCTGCATGCCAACTGCCTGCAGCCATGACAGCCGGGCGACTTTTCTTCAGTATGGTACTGCTCCATCTGCAACGCAAGCACCTCTGCTGTCGATAGGTCTGGGGTGACTTGCTGTATCCACAACTGTTGGGGTGGATTTTACCAGGAAGCAACAACCCGCTGAATGCTCCCATGTTTCGAATCGGTGTCCAAACCATCCATGCTAAGCATTTCTCTCCATTCTCCCAATTACCAGGCAACTTTCCCTCATCAAAGGACCCGAGCTGGAACACCTCGATATCTTTCCAGCAATGGGAATTCGCCAGATGGAGAAGCAAGGAGGGTTGCTCGTTGGCTTTGGCCCAGAAGCAATGGGCAGATCATTCTTCACAAAGGCGGATCTGTGCCATGAACCCATCTAACTACGTTTTTCTTGATGGCAGCAGCAATGCTCGGCCGCTGGTGCGGGTTTCTATCGACCGGCCACTCCGAGAGCTCGATGATGCAGCACTGCCTTCTGCATCGTGCCCCTTGGGGACCAGGCGCTTGAGCACCTCACTCATAAACGGCAAGGTTAGGTCTGGGTTTCGCTGTGTCAATTGCTTGAAGGAATCTGTCAGAAGGACGGACTCGACGCGCTTGTAAGCAATCTCCTTGCACACCTGCATGCACACAACCATAGAGTTAGCAGAGAAAAGTTGAATTCCGGCAGTTCCAATCGCCGACAGTAAGGCGTTCCACTGCAGGGCTGGATGGGCAACCCATGGGCATGAAGCAGCGAGTGCACGCCGCAATGCAGTTAATGTGCTCACTGCCCCGAGTCTGTCAGAGTTTGGATTGTGGTGGCTCTTCCAGGCAGCACATCGACTATTGACGGCTGACTACCGATTGGAATGTCGCACTTGCAAACAGGCAGGATGACAAGTAGCCAATCCAGCAAACCAGCCGATGACATTCACTTAGCCACACAATGAGCAACAGTCACCTGCATCAGCTCATCGTTGCTGCGCTCATCCGCAACCTCCAGCAAGGGTGCAAGTGTGTGTTCAGTGGTTATCTTCTTGAACACCACTATGCACTCCTTCACCAGCCCCAGAACGGCATACTTGTCTGCTGCCTTGAACAATTCTATCACGGCAGCGTGCTCCATCGGCACCTCTGACAGGACACCATACATGTACTCTATGAGCAGCAGCATCGTGTCATATGGCACGTCTTCGATCACCACTTCGTGGGTTTCGGTCTCTCGCATGCGTGAGTCCCACATTCGCTCAAAGACTGTTGAGTGGGTGGCAAGCACGTGCGCATGGGCTGGGACTCGATTGCCATCCACGAGCAGTGTCACATCACTGAGGTAGGTGTTGTTGTACAATTTCTTGTAGATGGCCAGAATGTTGGCCTTTCCTGTTGGCTGGCGTGGGACAGGTGGCTCCCGGTAGCGTAGGATCTCGACTTCCATGCACATCGTGTCAAAAGACAGGGGGATGGGTTCATAGTCAGGTATGTCCACCCGGCCCCCCACCACGACCATCATGCCATCAAACCCCAGCGCTGTGTGCCACTCCCGGGCGGCTGGCTGGTGGCCCTCTGCCATCAGCATGCTCCAGCGATGCTCCTCAAGATCAAACACAAATGTCTGGTCGGACACGTTGAACTTTGAGACGTTGGGGCGACGGCCACCATGGATGATCCATTTCTTTCCCACTACTGCAGAGGACGAGTGTATCCTGAAGGGAGGGGGCTGGGTTCCATTGGACAAGATGTGGTCTTCCCATCGCCATTCTCTTATGTCTAGTCTCCAAACCTGATTCACAATCAGACAAGTCTCCATCAGCACGGCTGCATCGCAAATCAGCAAGATGAAAGATGCAGACAATTGCGATGCTGGATTGAATCAACAACACAAGCAAGCACAAGAGGTAGAGGCCTGAGAACACACTGTCATGTGCAGGAAAACTGAGTCACTGCCATGCTCCATCACTAGGTTGGTGGCATTTCCAATACTGGCTGCTGCAACTAGGCACCCCTGTCGGCACTTTACACAAGCAGTCGAAACCAGGCAAGACCAGTAGGTGAAACTGTGGCAAGCCAGTCATCCATACCTCAACAGACGGTTCCTCAGAGATTCGTTTGGAGGAGCCATAGGCATATAGCCAGTCTCCAACTAGGCAAGCGCCCCCAAAACTCCATGTTTGCAGCTCCTGAGGGGGTTTAGTCTTTTGCTTGGACCACTGTCGGCTCTCAAAATCGAAGAGGTACACACGGTCCATATATGTGCCGCCCAGCAAGATGAGCCGATTGCCGTCAACGAAGCAAGCCACATTCCTCCGCATCTGCGTCTCACAGGGCGGCTCCCCCAATGTCGCCCTTTCCACCCACCGATAGCGCGATAGGTCACAACAGCAGATGTTACGCATGTTGTGGTTCCTGGGGCCGGGGAACACCCACAGCTCGTCCTTGTAGACAGCAGCATAGCAGCCTGCCGAAAACGTCTGTGGTATGGGCCCCCTGCAGTTTGTGAAGACCAACACAATTGCATCAGGTATTTCTGAGGTGGCGTTCCTGTGTCAATTGTGATGCCTGGGCCAGTGAGTCGGCTGCTGTGTTGCATGGTTGTAGCACTGCCTTGGCTGTGCCTTTCACTGCCAATTTCTAGTCTTCTATAACAGTCCCAGAGCATTCAAAACACCCCTCTGGGAAATTTAGCCACAATCATGTTATTATGTGGCTCAGGAATACATTCCTCCATTGAAGGCTGTGGCGACAGCCACCAAACAGAACAATTGTAGCAACCAACCTTGCGGGGCATGTGCATTTCTCAATTCAAGAGATTATTGAAACCACTGCCTTTGCACATTGTTGGCGAGTGCCTACCTGTACGACACTTGTGTGAAGCCCTCGTGGCCTGCCGTGTCCCATTTCCACAGCCCCATGTGCTCATTTCTTTCCTCATCCATACCCCCAAACACGTAAATGCAGCTCTTGTGGGCAATCGCAGAGGCCCCGGCGGCCACGATCTCTGCCATCGCGCACAAACGCAACGACGAGTGAGAAGACGCCAGACAGAAAATCAGCTGGTTAGCAAAAGAGCGACGAATGCACGCCTTGGACCCGCCTGCGATGCGGCGATCAGACTCCTTCCCACCATCCACCGCTTGGCACGCTGTCCATCTTCCCCCAATTGCCAGCCGCGCCCATGACACCAATCAAACCCGACATTCTCTCCACACTGGGCCCCCGTGGCGATGCCACCGTGTCGCCGTGGCGCCCCACCTGATCGCAGCGGCTGCGCCGGCTTGTCCCACTTCCACTCGCACAGCTCCTCTGTGAGCGCCTGCTGCAGCCTCTCCGCGAGCTCCTCCTTCCCCCCCACCGACGGCAGGCCGCGGTTGGCCAGCAACAGCTCGATATCCTCGGGCTTCAGGCGCTCCACGACAGCCGATATCATTGCGGGCCCGTTCCCCGCCGCCATCCTCGCCATCCCTTGCGCAGGCGCCCTCCCAGGCGTTCCGGTAGCCTGCGCCAGCGGCGCACCCCGGCATGCGCGCCTCCCGGGTCCCAAATGGCTTCACACCTGGATCACCACTGCCCTCTCGGGCTTCAACGTCAAGGGAATCGGTCCAGGCGTCAGGGGATGGGAGCACTCACATCATCTCATCCAAACCGCCATTTGTGCACAACGCAAAGAGGAGAACCGAGAGATATGCGAGAAAGAAGAGGGTTACACCGCCACGACAAAAGCCAACCAAACTGACGAGCTCATGTGCAAGCTACAGGTCAGGCGGTCGCACCGTTACTTGTGTGCACATCTGGCAGTGCATGGTGATGGCGAGCTGGTCATCACTCTGCACTATAGTATGCTACTACAGTATATACTAGCCAGTTCTATGCACAGAAGTACGGATTGTCAAGGGACACACACCCCACGTCCCACGTACACGTTTCCAGCTGGGCGAGGAACGTCACTGGGTGACGCCCACCGCAGTGCGTCCGATAACACAATCCCACACATCACCGCCCAGTCCCTCACGGCGGCCAACTGATTCGAGGGACCCAAAATGACAACACGAGTCAGCACCAAGCGCCCCAGCCAGGCATGTTATTGACGCCTCAAACACAGATCGTATTTTTGCTTTTATGGGCAGAAATAGCTTTTACGTTTTGACGCGCAAAAATGCATAAAAATTTATGTAAATGCAACGTAAATACAGCCTCGTGTACATAAGGGCAGTACATGCAGACTGAAGAAATACGAGGAGTGGCAGCCATACGCGCTGGAATGGGTAGGAGACGAACAATTGTTCCATGCCATCGTTGCCCTTGCAGAGGGCGAGGTGCACTCTGTGTTGCAGGTGTTCGAGGGGATGGATGACTTATCATTGTGTGCGACTTTCCTCGTGCAACCTGGGGGTCACAACGAGCCGTAGAAACGTAAATACAGCCTCAAAAAATAACCCTTTTTGCAAATTTACTTTTTGTTCTTGGTAAACGTAAACACAAAAACGTAAACGTAAACGTAAATAACAAGCCTGGGCCCAGCCCACCGCACACCAAATAGCGGTACCATGGATATCACAAGCCCAGCCCACCGATCAGAAGATGAAGCTTGTCGAGTTGTCCCAAAACCCAAAATAGCCTGTCCACATCATCGGATGGCAAGCGGAATACGGGCCCTCGCCCAAAAGGAGTCCCACACGACCCGACCAAGGCCAAGCGCTGAGAATCCGTATGGAAGTCAAGGACATATGCCGGGGCATGCACTCAGCGATTCTTCCACACTTTGCCTTCAATCCTCTCCCTCCAATTTTATTTGTTTGCAAGTATTACCAATTCCTGTAAGATCCAAACTCGGTCATTATGGCGTAAACACAGCGTGTATTTACGATTCTAGGTGTAAAAACGTGTGAAAATACGTACATCCAGGCCCTGTGTACATAAAGACAGTACATGCCAGCTCAGGGAGCCCGAGTAATGGCATCCAGTCGAGCTGAAGTGGGCAGGAAAAGAGCTTTTCGTCGGCGACATGAGGGTGAGACAGATACTGTGTCATGGGTGCTCGAGGGGCCGTTGGACTAACAGCTGTTGTCAACGTCATCATGTAACCTGGGTGTCGTATCCCGCCATAAAAATACGTAAATATAGCGTCAAATTGGTCGTTGCTATATTCGAGTGTTTTTGCGCTCAAAATTGTAAGCATAAAAGCGGTGTCGCAAACAAAAGACCAAGCCTGGTTGGAGCACAACAACGATGACCACCGCCCCCTATCGCAAAACTTTCTGAATTCATATTTTTACATGCCCATCAGCTGTTGCTATGCAAGAGGCAGCTGCCGACCATATTGGCCATAGCTTGGAGCTGATGCATGCAACGCTTGACTCTCCCGAGCACTTCGATTCTTAAATTTTGGACCGTTGCCAGCTCCCCTCACACTGGGAACAAAAGGGCCAAATAGCACGTGTTCAAACGTGTGCAAAGTTTACGGGTTTGGGTTATTTCCGTGTTTTTATCATGCGTAACACTGATGAGATCCATATATATGTGTTCGCAAAAAGTGCTATTTGGTCCTTTTTCTATTCTTGATCAAGAGGGGACGAAAGATCTATCGTCCGCTTCACAACACCGAGCTTGCCCCTCCAAGGTCGCTCTACAGATTGTTACCACTACAGTACTTGTGAAGAGCAACATGAAGTACTGGATCGACTTGCCAAGCTCTGCATTTGCTGCCAATGCCCCTATGCTTGCAATGTCATCATTCACGCCCATTGATGTGTGCTTGGCCAGTTGCAACTGGACAAGCACTTGCTCGATGGTGAACCGCCGCGTTGGCACCCCCTGTCTCGAGGCTCCGTAGCCGTCCATGTCGTGATATGCAGCTTGCATTCTTACGAGTAACCTCGCTAATGGTTTCCTGCCCGAATCACTCTGAAATAAACTGACACTCCAATAATGGGAGTCCCGTTACCATTGTGCCGGCATCGATAGATCGGTGAAACACGTTGGTAACACGAGTTCGACGTAATGCTACACTTTGGGCCGTGGGTGGGTTATCAACTTACCCTGAATGCTTCAGTGAATTTCCTTGGCAGGCCCGACATTCCGAAACATCTTGCGTGGAGCCCAAGTGATGCGACCCCCCAAACGCCATCTTTCCTGCCGAATGGCACACGTTCCCATCCTCCACGACAGTAAACGCCTTTGGTGAACATCTTCGCCTGATTCTTGTGTCATCAGACTAGTTCAAAGCGGTTTTTGCCATCGACCATGGAAGGATGGCACTGACTTCCATTCGATGAAAGCTGTTGCGCGCTGGAGGAGCATCGTTTTAATTGTCTACTTGTGGCTGGGTGAAAAAAGGCCCGAGCGTCGCATTGTCGATGCCGATGTATTCAGTACGGTGCCGCATAGCTTGCCAAAGTCCTCAATGTCCCAGCGCTGGATGAAACATGCAAGACACGGTGCCTTGGGACGAATTTAGCTTCATGAGATCGAGAGGCGGCGGTTGTTTTGGTGTCCATGACTCGGAGGCCTGTGTTGCCTTTCTCGCGAGCGTACATGGGATCCACCGCAGCTACTCCCGCCCCCCAAGGTCGGACGCGTCACGGGCAGGTCAGCCGGTTCGGGGAGCGTACGCCGCACGCCGTGCAGGAGGTTCTTGTGGACACCTGCTCCGGCCACAACACGATCACACGCGCGATGCTCCCGACCATGATGGATGATTGTGTAATCCTGCCAGGTCAGGCCGCTGGGGATCCACGTCACCCACACGCACTTAAGTGCCTACCAAGCGACAACGACCAACACTGCCACCCTCCGTGCCCAGGGACACCAGCGAGGACAAGCGGAGGATGGCGACATCCGGCCTGATCAGGTCTCCAGCCCGAGGCCACCAGCCGTTGCACGCGCCGGCGCTCGCAAAAGGCCTCTGGCACGTCGGTTCCCAAGTTCCGACGTCTGCAATTGGCAATTGCCATGGCCGTCCCGTGCTTGCTGGCCCCCGGCGACGGACCGCGGCCGCGGCCTCGGCGTCCTCGACGGAGATCCAGAAGGTGAAGGAGTGGCAGGGCGAGATGGAGTGGTGCCCCGGACCCTGCGGCTCGGTCGTGTTCGCGTGCGACGACTCGGACGACACGGAGGCCGCGGCGGCGTGGACGATGCGGAACCTCATCCGACCCGGTGAGCCGATCCGCTGCCTGCATGACTGTGGGCCGGCCTTTGCCCTGCGGCGCGTTCTCCCAACAACAGTCCACAAGGCCGCCGATCGCGTTTCCACAAGAATCTGCGCTGGCAATTTCTGCAAGCGATTCGCCTCCCGGTGCCACGCATTTCAACAGCACGTTCGCGAAGCATCGTGTTTACACTGCCAGCACGCCGACTGGTCTGGGTTCCGGCCCAAATGGCAACCCCCCCATGTCCATCATCTTGCCGCGCAATCACCCTGGTGCCGTCTGTGGCCGCGCCGTTTCAGCACCGCCACTGCGGGGTCGTTCGCTTGCGTTCATGGCTGGACAACCATGCCACGTCCGACGGGATTTCTTCGCCCTAACTTTGGCGCACAGCGCGGAGGCCTCAATCCCCTGGAGGACGGCGTCCTTCGCTGCGGCATGGGCCCCTGGCCGTTGGCACTCGGTCCGGTGAAAGCCCTGGCGACCCTGGGCGCCGCAACCACCCCACTGCCAGGGTGGCATCCGGGCGCCCTGCGTTGGGTGAATCGGGAATGGGAGGATGGGGAACGTAGTTGGCGCCGGGGTTTCCGTTGGGCGGAGGAGTGTTGTACAGCGCCCTTTCACCGAGGTGTGTTTCCGAGACCGCCAAGAGGGGGATCCCCGTCCGGCACCCAATTAGTCGCTCTGTCTTTCCGTGAAAATCGCTCCTTGTTTCGGACACCCTAAACCCTGAAACCTCCAACCCACTGACCGGCGTTGGTCTTGTCAGCGGAAGGAGAAGGGATCTTCACGGAAAAGAAGCGGGGACTAACGTATTCCCTCCTCGTCCACGTGTGCCGTTCCGACAACGTCGGGACGAAGGCATTTTCGACGCAGTGCCTAAACGAGGTCAGCGAATTCCCTGAAACTCTGGGAACTTTACATTGTAAGGCGCTGCCACGTCAGCTGCTGATGTTGCTGACCGAAGCTGTCCGGTCCTCCAAGCGTCGTGAATTTGGCCACCTGGAGCACCGCCGGCAGCTGCCATTTCTGTCAGCCACATGACGTTGGGTCGCCCCGGAGACCACTCCCAGGCCACCACGACAATTGAACACAAACTCAGCGGCAGCCAGTGCACTGACTAGCGCTGTAGTCCCTATGCCGTCACCGCAGTCTCTTTGGCAGTTGCTGGGCCCGGGACCCCAAAACAAACTACTGAAACGGCTTCCTGCAGTCAGACAAAAGGCTCCGAAAGAACGCAACAGCTCTTAGTGCCCTTGGGGCTGGGCGGACGCCTTGCCCAGATCGTCTCAATGTGTCTTCGTACTTTGAGTAATTAAGGACAGTGGTGGACGACTAAATTGTGAAAATGCTTGTGGGCCCTGCGCTGGACGCGGCAGCCGTCCACTGTGCGAAGAAGGACTGCAACGTTTGCACCTCGCCGCTGCACAGCACCCCCATTTCAAGAGTCTGCCCGGCCTTTGACAGAGATTGTCAAAAGGGCAGGACTCATTGCGGCCACCGGCCTCGCATGGTCGACAACTTGTTGTCCCACAAAGCGCGCTTTAACTCAATCGATTCCGGCTCGCGTTCCTGTAGGGTGCCGTCAGTCTTTTGGGCAGCAATACCGTCATTCCGTGCGCTGATCGCCAACTTGGGAGGTGACGGGCGGGCAATTGCCGGGCAAGGCTCTCCAGAGGCTGCAAATCAGGGCCAAGCACCCATCATCAATCGTCGCCACCCGCGCCGCCCAACATTCTGTCCTACAGATCGCCAGTCGCTGCACGTCCTGCTCGCTTCCAAGCCCCAAGGACAGGTGGCCAGGAACAGCAACTTGCCAAAGCCGCCACGTCCTTCACGGACGCAGCCGCGGGCATCGAAGAACATGCGCAGGGCGTCTCTTCGCACACCAAGAAAGCCGCGTCAGCCTCCTGTCAGGGCATGGTTTTTGTGCTATTTTCATGGACGCCCATTTTAATGGACCCCATTTCTTAATGGACCCCCTTGAGGGGTCCATTCGTCGAGAGACTTCACAGCACTGAACTCAGTGCTCGTTGGCCGCCAAACATGCAACTTGACACGTTGTTCCCACTTGCCGAAAATGGCCATCCACCCAATTTCATTCTATTTCAAACCGCGTTGGCCAGTACGGTATGCATACATCAACAAACAGATTAGAACGGACTCTACTTTCTTGCGCAATTTGTGAATTGCTGAATGCCCTGTAACAGTGCTACAAAACGTACACGTGTGGACTAAATCGCTCAATGCGGACGGAAACGGGACTGAACATACACGTTGAAGTGGGCTGAATCGCTCAATCCGCAATGGCTATTTGGTGGCCATTTCTCCTCTGTAGCATGTCCTGTGACTCAAACCTGTCTGTGCAGAGTCGCTTGTGTTCCCAGATGCTTGTGGGGGGGTGCTTACTCCGGCTGCCCTTAATGCACCACAGGGGACACGGTTCACTTTGTGCACGTGGTTTCCGACGATCGGGCGAGTCTAACAGGCTTGGGGGACAGCAAGAGCTGCTCGTACTTTGACTCCATCGAAGAAGACCTGCATCTTCAGGACGTCGAAGTGAGTGTTGATGTCAATAGACAGGCTGGATTGTGAAGTCACAGCTTATCTCTGAAATCTCGAGAGGGCGCTTTAGCAAGGCACAAGCACGTCGAGTTTGCTCATTGGTGTGCTGCAAACGGCCATTGACATAGCGATTCGCAACTCGTTGAGTTATCCTTAAATTTGCAAACAAGTGCGAGCAGCGACGAGAACTGCCGCTCTGTGGATAATCGAGTTTGCCAATGGGTCTCCTGTCCCGCGGTTCGAAAGAGCGATCATTTGCGGTCTGGGACTCACATGTGGCTGGTTTCTCACGCAGCCTGGACACGAGCTGAATTTGCAATCTAAAGGCGAGAAGTTGATAGAGAAACGATTCGTGAGGCACGCCAAAGAGGCAAACATTCCATCACAGGTTAGTGGTCGTCTGCACTGGACTCGCGTCATGATGATGCTGGATGTCAAGTGGTGTTGTGTTGTTGTGCTCACTTTCACGTATGGGGGATGTCAGAAGCCAGTGTGGCCGGTGACAGCATCTCGCCTTGGAATACATGATTGGATAAAGCTTTCATAGTTTCACACATTCTGGAAAATGGCAACGTTCCTTTGGGCAGCATGTAGCGAGGGGTGGCGCCGGCAGTCCCAGCTCTCAATGCGAGGGATGCTTGATAACCAGGTGTTTGAATGTGTGACAATGAATCATGTGCACATGCAGCAGTAAATCAAGAGGCAATTACCCTAAGCTGCCGCATTTGTTTTGCATTTCATTCCTCGTGGTGACCAAGCTGGGCTTCGTTCATTTCCCACGGGCATTCTTCATCAGCCTAATTCAAATATCGACCTGAGATGGGCGTGGCAGAGCTAAATGCAAATGCTGTCTGCAGCTAAAGCTGCTGTGTGGACTGTAAGACAATTATTCTTAACATGGCATTTGCAGACACTCAGCAACCAGGCCATTAGGATAAACGGAGCTCAAGTTATGCAGCATGTAGACTGTAGCTTCTGTGCAGTCTTTTGTGTGCAACATGTGGAATCTAGATTACGTGTCATAGTGCTGCTCCTTAATTCCGTGGTTTGCATTTATCAACAGCACATGATACGTCCCAGCTCCTGGGCATTGCAGGCGAAGTTGCATGTAGCCATTAATTCGTTGTGCTCCTTCGATGTTGCATGCTGATATGATACCACAGCTGCTAATTGCAACATTGTGGCTCCAGGTTCATGTCCCTGTACTGAAAGGGCCAGAGTCTGCGGCTGATATCGGCGGCGTGCTGTGTCGGCTTTCCAAGCAGCTGGGAGCAAGAATGCTGGTAGTTGTAAGCCCTCAAAGGTGAACCTTCGGTGAATTGCACTCTGTACTGGGTCATGTTTGTCATGCCGTGTGGGCATATGGTGAAGATCTTCACAGTATCTGACCAATTCTAGAGTTGGTTGGCTTGGCACCAAAATGTTGCTGATGGAGCTTCAGGGCATGCGCAATTTGGCATGGTTACGAGATCGCCTACACAGATTGCGTGTGGAGCACGTGTGCATCGCAGGCACGCATCAAGCAGCATCGCATTCTGGAAAGCATCAAAGCACCTCGTCTGCGATTGCAGAGGATGCTGAATCGCAGTGCATTGCTGCACTGGTGTGGATGTTGTATTTTGGTGGAGAAAGCTGGAGAGCATGTAGACCTCCAAGGGTGAATTGCGAAGCTTCAGCCCCGCAAAAGAATGCGGACACTTGAATGCCCAACTTTCCATGGGGAGTATGCATGTGCATGTGCACTTTTGGTATGTACGAACACTTTGGGATTTGTGCTTGCAAACTTTTGAACTGGGCCTCTAAGGCTGCTCCAAGGGCCAGCCAACCCTGTGCAGAGATTTTGTGGTTTCCTAGTGATACAAAGTGTGGCTGATGAATTGTTTTTCAGGTCAACGTTCTCCGATTTTGGGTCCATTGGCCACCACTGCTACGAACATGCGGAGATTCCACTTGCTCTGATTCCGCCAGCAAACCCTGAGGCGCTGGACATGATGACGGGCGAGATCATGCTCGTTGCCCAGGATGACAATGAAATGACGGGATGCCGAAATTGGGTGATGAGAAACTTGGAATCAGCAGGTGTGCTGTCTTTGCTACAGCAAGGGGCTTTATATGGTGATATGTGATTGATCCATGGTTTCTGATTCGCGGTCGGGGAGTATCGTATTTTCAGATGATGGAAACGCAGCAATCAATCGTTGCGCTTGTTATTCCATGTTGGCACTTAAAGGATACACCCGGTTTCGTTTCTATCAAGTCTACATGGTTGTGGCCCTCTTTCTATGTCTTCCTGGACATCAATTTGTGACATTTCAATAGCTACAGGAATTCTTCATTTTGGTGCAGTTTGTCAAATTTCCATTTTGCAGTGGTCGGTGAGCTCACCTCTCACTACAGCTATACTTGCCACATCAAATATGCAATACCTCAGCAGTGTATTTAGACGCATGTGTTGCCCTTTGCTACCCTTTGTCTCTTGGCACAGTAGTCTGCAAATGTTTGCGCCATTGTTCCCTTCCAAAAAGCTTTCTCTTCTGAGCACTGAAATCAAGTTTCAGTCAAATGCGGAATCTATGAATTCAACCATTGCACAATGTGGAATCCACATTCTGGCTTTGCGCTTGTATATTTTTGTGTGCGAGGTAACCGCTGTTGCCAAATGCTCACATTGGATTCGATACAATTTGCCAAATCGGCAAATTGTCATATTCGCATTTGTCTGGTCTACATTGGCTGTGGTAGAATATATCAAAAACATTTAACTGCTGTGATTTGTTCAATGTGGTGCTCTTAAAGATACTGGGGAAGGAGGGGCCATTGCGCATTGGCGATCAATTGATGCTATCCCCGATGGTGGCGAATAGCCACTTTTCTTCAGTGAACAAAGCTGACGCAAGCCTTATGTGGTATCTGGATGCAGAGGCTCATCTCAAGATGGTGCATGTCTGGGATCCTGCGAAGTCCTCGGGGGCCGTTTTCCCCGCCTGTCGATTTTCAGAATATGAGATGGCGCCGTTATCATGCAATGAAGGTGAGGCTCACATGCGGGGGCACGTTTCATGCAGAACGCACAACGCATCGGTGGTTCTCATAAAGGAATGCTCCAGCTGTTGCGGTATTCGTTGACATTACAATTGCCTTGTTACATTCCATATGCACAAGCAGCTGTTTCCCATGAAGGGATCCATATATGTCGTATCATCTGTCGTGTGTGTCATAAACTGACGAAAACTGCGTACGCGACTGTTCCACTGCAATGAATGATCGTAGCGATCCTCTCGCGTGGCAATTTTAGATGTTGCAGGGTTGTGTGACGCCATGTTGTCATGTTTCTCCCATTCAATATCAGTGAAAGTTGTTTTATCATGGGATGGACGGTTTTGTGCATTTCAAGAGGTGATTCATTTAGTAAATGTCGAAAGACTAAATCAGTGAGCTGGGGCCACGAAGCAACGAGCGAGGCGCATGCTTTTTCAATTACCGTTGTGCGTAGAGCGATATCATCCGTATCCATTGCTACAGCGGTCATAGCCGGCTAATCTGACCATCCGCGACATATCGTAAAGGATACATATAGGAAAACCGGGATGTCTTGATATTGATGTGCACATGTGCGTGACGCGTGTTGTGTCTATCCTATCGCCACTGCCACAGAGGGAACTGCCAAGCAACAGGCGACAGATTACCTGCGTCGGAGGAGCGAAGAGCTGCATCCCAAGCTCACTGTAATGTATTCTCAAGCCCACCAGGTACTGAATGTTGCAACTGCCGGAATGCTTCTGCATTCATTCTTTATTATTTGTTACATTTTTTATTACTTTGTTGTTTTGTTGTTTATTACATTCTTTATTTGCATGCACAAAGCAGATACCCTGGCTACATCCAGGGCAAACTTCCTGTGCGACAACAAGAATCCAAGCTGTGCATTGTACTCGTTTATCAGCGCACAAACCCCGCCGAGAATACTCCCGTGAGGTGACAGGACTTCTTGACCGTGATTGTGACGACTGGAAAAGCAGCGGCTTTCCTATACAGCGCCGAGATATGCGCACACTGGCCGGCAGATCTTTTGGCGGAAGGAAGCAGCCAGGGGTGGCTCCCTCAGTCTTGTGCACACATTCGAGACGCCCTGTTTTGCTAATGTTCTGATGGCCTGTTCCGCGCGTCCGGTGGCCGGCGGGGCGGACGCAAGAGCGTGCCATCACAATTGCTCTTCCTCGCCTTGCAAACCCAAAGACATGGTCTAGTACACAAGTTTCTGCGAAGCGAGTTCTCTGTGCAGAAGTTGGTGGAATACCTCCTAAGTTTCTCTCTGTCACGGTGCTCGATCTGTGGAAACTGAACACCGTAGTGCTTAATGCACATGGGCAGTGCCGTGGGCGTTGAAGCCATGCAAAGATGCCATGGGGTTGTGGTGCTCCAGGGGATCGTGGAGGCTTTGCTTGATCCTTCCTTCACCCTCAAGTACTGCTGCTGCACACGGTATCCTGTTCTGCTGCTGCCCCACTCCAAGCAAAGTGGCACGCATTTGAAAGAAAATGCTGAGATCTTGTCCCGATGGACTGATCACTCGTACGACTGCGAAGTTGGCGCGTAGCACCCGTGGAGCGGAGCGGGTAGAGAGAGCGCCAGTGGCAGGCTGCGCGCATACGCTTCGACGGACTGTTACAGAGACGTGCCTATTACACAGACGAGGCCAGGAGAGTGACGTTTAGGCTCCTTGGCTGCAATGTCTCGAGTCTGGCTTTTCATGCCGCGCGGTTTTTGATGAGTTCCCTGTCCCGATAGCGGTTGTCTGTGAGTGCCAGCTTCGCCGGGGCGGGAAGGTTGGCGGTGTCGATGCGGTTGCTGAGTGCTTGGCAGGAGAGCGAAATTGATGCTTTGCTGCGCCCCGCGTGCGGCGCTTCGAGAGCGATGTACTCACGATGTACCCCGCTTGGTCCCCTTGTAGGCGGTAGAGCTTGGTAGGCAGGGTTTTAAGCATGCGGAAGACCTGGAGAATCTTCTGGAGAAAGTGCTCAGTGATGACCAGGTTGATGCAGTGTGGTGTGGTGGAGATGGCGAAGGCACTGCGATATGCATGTTTAAGTGTATAATATGTGTTGGTTGCGTTTCAAGGGTCATGTTTATGTGCATGTGCGCGATGCCGAAAGCGTGGGAAATGGCAAGCAAGTTTTCCCACCACAAACGTCATGGTATCTGTTGTTCCAATGTGCGTTTCAGAAGTGCTAACCGTTGAATACGGCCAAACGGTGCGACAGGAAACGCCAAACGATATAACATGCCAAACAGTATATCTTGCCATTTTACTTCTGGAGTGGATGGGGCTGCTGGATGTGACAACGTGCCAGCCTTGCAGCGCAAGCTTGTAGAACCTTGGGATGCCACATAGTTGTGGAATACTGCCTCGTACCTTTTTTACCTCAAGCTTGTGACTTGATTCGCGGCAAAAAGGCAGTCCCAAGCCGTTTCCTCTGACTAATATAGCTCTACCTCGTTGGATATATGACTTCCTGCAAGATGGAGGTCGCGTCCCAACGTTTTGGTCGCTGAGCTGTCCTGCAGCGAATGCGTGGGCGCGTGAACGCGAGCTGCCCCGGTTAACCCGGTAGCCCAATGATGCCGGCAGGTGCATTGGCAGCCACGGTGGCCTGCTTCTTGACGACGCACAAATCCTCAAAGACTACAGGGGTTGCCTGAAAAAAGGATGTCGATCCCGCGACAGGCAATAATCGCCTCCATAGCGCTGCGCAAGTGCGTGTCACAGACTGCTGTAACCCAGACATTGTGCGTACGTTGGCTAAGAAACACGCCGTATCTGCCCCTTGACAATGAGGCTCCCAGCCCACGGTACATGCCGAGGGCGTACGCCACATTCCTCTGCCTGCACTGCACCGCGAGTCGTTCTGCACGTGAGACTGTTGCACAAGCTGCAAGTCCGAACAGATGTGCAAGTAACTTTTTTCACGTACAGTAGTTTTTTCTTTTTCACATACAGTAGTTTTGTTGATGTAACGTAAGTTTCTACCTGTTAAACGTGATAAATGACTGATTGATGGAACAAATTTCCAGCGGTGTGTAGCGTTGACGAAGGCAGGCATGATCGAAGGGTGGTGTTCCCTGAACGGGAATCGTACGCCCGAGTCCACGGCAGCGGTTTACAGCCGAGGCGAAAGGACAACAGGCGTTCTGTCCTTTATATTCAGTCCGTTCAGCAACGTCCTTAATGCAATTCCTAGTGCTTCATCATCTCTTCATGCGTTCAGTTGTTGACAATACTCGATCAGTTCTAGTTACAACAGCGTCCCACCTGCAAATGACAACCCACTTGGAGCCAATTGAATAACATCCCTCATCAGGGACGCACACAGGCAGTAGCTCCTCGGGGCGGTTGGCGTGCAATACCTCCGCGCAAGGTCGCTATGCGGCAAGGGTTTCGTTGAAATCAAGGGCTGGCCCTTTAAAGGTCCATATTTTGAGTAATTCTCAAAATGATCCACGGGTGAGCTGCTGCTAGGTGATGGAGGTCACCCAACAATGGAGAATATATTAGTCCCTCTGTCTCTTCTGTGAGGTTCCCTTCTTCTTCCGCTGACAATGCCAACGCGGATCCGTGGGTCAGTGGCTGTCAGGGTGTTCGAAACAAGAAGGGATCTTCACGGAAAAGTCAGAGCCACTAATTGCACGCCCCAAAAATGCCCTCTCCGCTGCACAGCGGGTTGCCACTGTGTTACGTACATGTGTGCCACGGTCAGATCTGGGTGCCAACGGGCCCAGAGATTTGGCCGGTGCGGGAGCGTCTGAAGTACCATTGCGCTCTGGCGCTTGGACTTGGCGCATGGGCTGGCCACAGGTGCGCATTGTCAGGGTGGGAATCCTTGCAGCCGTTCCCTACCCTGCCGGCAACGGGGTAGAATAGAGTGGGGGAGGGGCTGATTTGGCACAACTGTTGCTGCGTGATGGCAGGCGAAGCTGGAGGTCTGCTCACTTGGCGACCAGCACCGCGGCCCCCAAAGGATTATTCTGGGCCTCTCATGGCAGGAACAAATGTCCACGCCCTTGTCTGCTTCACGGGTGCTCCTCCAAACCCACGGATCCTGGACAGCAGGTGGGGGGAAGTGGCAAAATGCGCTGCTTCTGACGCACCTATCCCTGCTTGGCAGCGGCTTTGGAGAATCATGACCACCGCGGTTGAGGACGTGCGGTCAGATTATCAATCTTTCCTGGCCGCAACCATGCCGCTGTGGTCGTCGGCTCAATTGACGGATGATAAGGGCGTCTGAAGTCGCCAAAGCGGTCGTTAGGCACGGAAACAGGTCCGAAGCAACAGCAAGAAGGCGCCTTCACCATTTGGGCCGCTCCAAAGCTAGAAAATGTATGTATTGGGGACACTTTTGCTGCAAGTCGATGCACACTTTTGCTGCAAGTCGATGCACAGTGAATCCTGCAACCTGGGCCGCTTTGTAGTCGTCTGCCAGATGCTGTGGTTCAGGTACTTCTTGTTTTTGACATTTGACCTGGCTGGGCTGCAAATATGCTCATCAAGAGCAGTACATTTGTGTTCAAGCATGACCCTTCGATCTTTTAATTGGCAGGCATATCGCCAGATGGCAGGCACCCGCAGATCGTCGGTCACTGCCATCTTCCAGTGATGGCATGGGCTGCCTGCGCCAACTAGGTAGCCGCGAACTTCACAATTGCCAGGCAGCCGGGCATGAGCTAATGCAGATTGCAGATGGAATGTCATTGGCGGTGCCAGCTGCGGTTGGGCTGGCTGCTCTGATTGGTGGGTATGTGATGGCATCGACACACATCCTTCAAATCGCATCTGGTAGTAGCAATGTTAGGGCTTTGTGTGGGTACATAGAACAACTGGATGGTCCACTCCCGTGTCCTCGTAGCGAGCGTACAATGCGTACCGATGTTTCGTTGGGAATACTTCCATGAGTAAGTGACAAGCAAAGATGTCAAGTGAATGATTTTGTTGTTGAATTTGGTGTCAAAGAATGGTGGACTGGTTGGTGTGTGTCGGGAAGCACTTCAAATGAAGGCTTAAGATCCAAGATCTGAATGTGTGTTGGTACTTGGGGGTAGTGCATTTACTGAATTCGCTTTTTTCTGTCTTGTGTGTCATGGCTACAAACTTTGCAGCAAATGGAATTTTAGGGGAAAAAGAAGTGACCATCCTTGGAAGCACATACCTTGATGCAGTGGTCAGATGGCTGCCACTCCAGAATAACTGGCCAGGTCTTTTCTTCAACGTAAATTCCAAGCTTGGCTCTATTGTGGCATTCAATTCTGTTTTCTGTGCATGTAAAGCTGTATAGCCTGAAGGTGAGGTGAAGGTGAGGCTTCTTTGATTGCCGATTCACTCCCGCTGGAGAATATTATTTAGAAGTGGGATTCAAATTCAATTAACAATTTTTGCTACCCCGGTGAACCTGGTCAGTTGGCCGCTACGTGTGGTCTTTCCTTTTGCCTTTTCAAGCTTTTAGCAAATTTACATATCAGACAGAGAAGTAAGGGCAGCGGCGATGGCCTAGGGCATTTTATGTGCTGCTGGACTGCGCTGTAGATTTCTTGCTAGCACCGACAATGATGTTTCTATTGCATGCTCTTCAAGTAATTTGTTTGTCTGCTGCTTGTAACTGTTGCACTGTGGCTAGACACTTGAGCAATAACATATGGATGCCCAGGCACTTGGATGCTACATTTGCCCCTTTGGCTTTTGTGCATGTGAATGGTCCTTCAGCAGTCCTTTAGCAAAGGTTTTACTGTTGTGTGCCACAGTGCAGCATTGTGTTGCCATGTTGTTCTCCCTTTCTTGTCTTGTGTATACTGGAGTCACATTCTCCCATGCTTGTGTGCCTCACCCAGGTTCTTTGCATATCGAGCATACCTGTACGGGCAGATGGAGTACATAACAGCTTCAATGCTCACCAACAATGTGCCAAAAGGTAGGTCCACTTTAGGAGGACATGGTGCTGTGCACTCCTTGTGCAGATTGTTGTTTTGGCTTGCTGATTATGCACCCACTGCTGTGGCATTGGTCTTCCAGGTGCAAGAGTAGTACAAGTTGGTGGTGGAACACGTGAGGTGTTCTACTACCCCAAGGGTACCATTCAGATCAATGTTGTTGGTGAGGATATTAATGAAGGTAGGAACAGCAATAATCCAGTTTGTGATGCGCACTTGTTTTGGATGGTGATTCCTATCTATACAAGTTGGTGGTGGAACACGTGAGGTGTTCTACTACCCCATTTCAGATCAATGTTGTTGATGAGGATATTAATGAAGGTAGGAACAGCAATAATCCAATTTGTCGCACTTGTTTGGATGGTGATTCCTATCTATACAAGTTGGTGGTGGAACACGTGAGGTGTTCTACTACCCCAAGGGTACCATTCAGATCAATGTTGTTGGTGAGGATATTAATGAAGGTAGGAACAGCAATAATCCAGTTTGTGATGCGCACTTGTTTTGGATGGTGATTCCTATCTGAAGATTTTTAATTACAAGTTTGCAGGTCTATTGTGATAGTGCGAATTGCTGTTTCGAACGCTTGCACCAGTGTCAGGTGGCAGATGCCAAGAGTGGAAGCAAAGTAGATTCCTGAGTGATGCCAACAGCTGTTTCAGGAGATTTGGGGCTCTGGTGATTCAATTGTACTTCCAATTGAAGAATGAAAAGTATTTGCAAGGTTCTCTCAGTCTGTGGCTGCCATCAAATGCACACTACTGACATTCACAAAATACGCAAATCACAATTGCCATCAGACATAATAATAACTCCTTGATGATTTCCAACATCATCCAGAAATTTGTTGCAAGACTAATATTCTCGATCGACTGTCTGTTCTAATTCAACTTGAGGGACTTCAAGAGGTTATCTGGTGAGCATTGTAGCTTTTTCTATGCACATGGTGTGCACTGGAGTTTGCTTGTCAACCTCCCCACACACGATAATTGTGTGCATGTTCTCAGTTTGCTGTATGCGCAGGGTGAAGGACACAAGTATGTGCGGCACCAGGATTGATCTGCAACATGAAAATAATGTCATTCTTTTGTTAACGATGCTTCAATATTGTGTTCTGAATGTTGGTGTGTTTATTCTCGCGTCCTTCTAATGCCATTGGTGTCTGTTGCCATTGTTGCTGCTCTGACATTGTCATGCAACAGCAACCAACACTGTCCTTTTCCAAGTATCCTTGCCCATAATTGCCAACATTGTTGTTGGAGGAATGTCAAGGAACGAAAAAAGGAACAAAGAAAAGTGTTTTGTGTAGAATATCCCTTCTCAGTGGCACCACTGCTCGCAAACAGTTTGCTGCATCCACCCAGCTCATATAATGTCGGTGTCTGCAGTCCTCCATCCTTGAGTTGAAAACAGGGTCTCCTGTGCCCGAACACTGACTGAGCAGCCCAACGCTCTTTCCCAGAATCCATGGACCTATAGACAACCACACACACAATCATTGCATTTTCTGGGATGCGGGACATGCTGCAGCGCATAGGAAAACCTTGGCAATTGTCTGCTGGCAGAATCCATAGGCCATCGAATGTCCAGTTCTTAATGGTGCAATTTTGCTCCCGAGATGGCATCTTGCTCCTCACCTGTGCCATACATTCCAACAGTGTGTGGAGCCCGATTGGCAATGGCTGTCAGGAATTTAGCTCCCAGCCACCATTAATGGCCAATGGCACTGGTCAGCGTCCTTAGGATGGCAGCCCTCTGCTACACCCAAAGGATCCCACACAGAATGCTCTATTTCTGCCCTATTTCACTGACATGCCACTGCTTCTGCTTTTCCTGCCAAATTGCTCCGTCTATGTTCCAGAAAGCCAGGGCATCGGTGCAGGAAGCTGGTTCACAATGGTGGAGGACATGCCCCCAGCTTTGGAGGAGTAGTATTAGAGTAGTGAACCATGGAAGAATCCGCCAACAGTTCCTGCCAGTGACAGTGCACAAGATGCTGGGCGGGCGCCCACATGATGTGAGAATGAGCCACGCTCAGGACTTGCAAGGCTATTGCCATTGATGTCTGTGTTGGTGGTGTTGTTTAGGGCTAATCAGCAATGCTGGAGTGCAAGCGGCCATTCCTGTCGCCCCACACAAACAGCCACCCACAAACCTGTCCTTTGCTGCGGGAAGCACAATGGATGCGGTGGTAATCTTCGAGCTCCTCTCTGGGATGGAGGACGTCCGCTCCTTTTTTGATGTGAGCACGTGTGAAAATCAACATGTTGCAGTTTGCTTGTGCCCTGTGCTCAGCATGAAACGTTGAAACAGGTTTCTATGCATGTCTGTTGTGTTTATGGTTGTCCCCATTTTGTGAGGCCTCAAGAGCAGCGCTGGAATTGCAACACAGACATGCTGTTGGGTGCATCGCATGCCTGGGCAATTCCTGTTGCGTGCAGTCAAGCAGACTTAGATGTCCACGTTGTTTGCGAGCTGTTCAGGAGGTCAACAGAGTTTTGAAGATTGGCGCGCCCCTCATCTTTGTTGAGAAAGGTAAATGCTCCGCTGCTCTGCGTCCTATTGCAACTTTCCAAGGCGGTATTCACCTCGTTTATCTGTGCTGCACATAGATGAGCGGCCCACTGCACCATTTTTGAACGCACATGAGACCCACACAGTGTATTGTCGTGCAAGGATGCCAGTCATGCTGGCTTTCAATTTGGAAAGCTGATAACATAAATGCCTCGGGTGCGAGCAGTTGTCCTAACAATTCGTAGGAACCCCGGTCTTTGGCAGTGCTTACTCTGGTGTTAGTGCAAGAGATCACTGGGTGTACAAAACATATGAACACATATTCTGGCTAGCCAAATAGGTGTGTGTGCTGCCTGATGTGGACTGCACATGACTCCTGGTGATTTGTGCACAGACAGCGAGCCCCTGAGGAAAGTGCTGGAAGAGGCATCCAAGTTGTTTACCGGGTTGCAGTGGGACATGGCTCTGGAGGGTCAAGACCCACACGTTGTTGGGATTGCCTTTAAAAAGGATTTTGAAGCTGTCAAGATGCCAGAGAAGCGGCAAAACAAAGTGAAGCAGGGGAAGAAGGGCTTTCAGGATCAAGACTAGTGCCTCTTGTCACTTATCCTGGCAGTTTCTCAGGGGATACAACTCACGTTGCTTTGCCCAGGTGTGCTCGAGCTTCTCATCATCTGTGTTACCGGTCCACTGCAGGAACGCGTCACGCTGTTGGCCATGCGTTGTCTGACGTAGTTGCGAGCTTCTGATTTCGTGCGCATGTGCAGAGTACGAATGCGCACGCTTGAGCATTGTGAGCGTCTCATTAACGTTCTTTCTGCCGCACAGATCTCTTTGATTATGATTGGGGATCAGCTTGGATGCTTTGCACGCCACTGGTTTGTGGGAACGTGGGAATTTCACTTTTAGAAGTGGATGGTTGTGATTGCCAGCGGCACAAGCCTGGATATCGGCGAGACATTCTGCAACGCACGGATCTGTTCGCAACTCCACTCCCCTTGTTCCGTTTCCCTTACGCACGATCATCAGCGCACTGGCCACTGGTCGGTCCACTGGCCGATGCCGCACTTGGCATACCCAGACCAGCTACAGCCCCCACGGTCATTCACGTTGCCCATGCCAACAGCTTCGCCGTCAATCTGTTATTGAACAATCATCGTCATCATCATCAACATTTTTCTTGTACAGAACAAAGCAACAAGGCAATTATTGAACAACCGCTGGCTGCCCTGAACAGCACACTATCCCACAACCGTCGCTCCTCTGCGTCAGTTGACAGCGGCATTCCCCGTCGAAATTCGGCCCCATCCCTGCTCTTCGCAAGGGACGGGTGCACCCCCCAGCGTCCCCTCCCTTGTTCGCCCACTCCTCCGAGCTTCGTGACTGCCATCCAAGCATCGGCTCAGGCCCCACGAGCTGCGGCGTCCGTCCAACGCACTGCATGATGGCGACGGACAGCTCCAGGGCCGTGACGACCTTGGACGTCGTCATCGGCAACGGCGCCCCCGCACCGGCGCCCCTGGTCCCAAGGGTCAGCGGCACCAACCTCTCTGCGGTGGCAGAGGTCTTGCCCCGGGGCGCGAGCTGCGCCGACCGTGGCTGTGGTTCAGCCGACCCCGTCGAGGACCACCTGCAGGCGTTGGTTCAGAAGAGGGTGGCGGTGCTGGTCCGGTCCAAGCGGCGGGCCGCCGAGAGGGCCAGAGTCGACGAGGCGCTGCGCGGCATCCGGCAGGAGGCGGAGGAGAGGGAGCGGTGGCTGACGCGGCTGACGGGCGAGGTGGAGGACTACGAGCTCGTCGGCAGGGCCGCGGAGGCGTCCGCCTTGGAGAGGCTGCGGCGCCAGCTGGACGTCGCGGGGACCATGCTGGAAGCACAGAGTTCGGAGGCGGCGGCCAGGAGGGGGGCCCTGGAGGCGACCGTGGGCGAGCTGGTGGCCGCCAGGGCGGAGATGAGGTGGCTGGCGCGCGAGGAGGCGACCCCCGACAGCCCTTGCAGGGCCTGCTCCATCGACGAACTAGCGGCGCTGTGCGACGAGGCCTTGCGCCTGGAGAAGGCGACGAAGGAAGACCAGGAGCGTGCGGCGGTCGTCTTGGCGGAGATGGAGGAGGTGGATGCGGAGGCGGAGGCCCTGAGGGTGGCGCTGGCCAGGGAGACGCGTCGCCTGTACGCCAGCCGCTGCGCGGGGGCGGCGCTCAGGGCGGAGGCCAGGGGGCTGGAGGAGGAGACGGAGAGGGCTAAGGAGAGGGCGGGGGAGAGGACGGCCGAGGCGGCGTGGATCATCGACGACATTGTGGACCTGTCGGCGAGGCTGGCGGGGCTTGACGCCGCCACCTCCTGCCGGGACGAGCAGGCGCAGTTCTGCGCGGGGCTGCTGCCGCAGCTGAGGGACACCAGGCGGCGGGTGCAGGGGAGGGAAATGGCGCTGGCACTGGAGCGCAGCATGAGCGATCGAGGTGGGGCATGGGAGGTGCTGCACGCAGCGGTCAAAATGCTGACCTATAACATGAGTTTGGAAGTTTTAAATGCTTGTTTCTGCTGGTTGGAAAGGCTGTGTGACTCAGTGCTGCTGCTGCTGATGACTTAAGGACACTTCTTTTGATGTTTTATCATCGACAATCACTTCTTGGAAATGGGAGGTAATAAATTCATAGATTTTGTTTGTGTTAAACGCCAGATTTCCATGAACTGATCATAGACACTGCTTTGCTCGGGCAAAATAGGAAGCTGATGGACACCTCATTGCCTTGTTATGTAAAAATGAATGGTGGTGACTCAAGGGCAACACGCGGCCTGTGTCGGAGATGTTCGTCTGCAGTACACTCGAGCAACCATTGAGCGTTCCACCTGTGGCCATGGAGCCGTTTCCCAGGTTGAATTTGGAGTCCTTGCGAAAATTGCGTTTCTTCTGTATCAGGTCCAAAAAGGCGCACCGACGACGAACTGTGCGATGTGCCCTCGAAAGAAGACCCCCCCTCGTCGTTGGGCAGCGCCAACAGCGCTGCAAGCGCAACGGCAGACATCAAGATTGGCGCTGCGTCTCCAACGATCGAGCTCGAATTGGCGCCGCCGTCGCCTTGGTACAATGAGGCTGCAAAGGAAGTTACATCCACAGTTTCGACGGTGCCAGGAGGAATGACGAACGGCAGCAGTCATTCCCGCAACCATTCACAGGATAGCGAAGAAGCCGCTGAAGCTGTAGAGCTTCAGGGCAGCATCGAAAGAAATATCGATGAAGAAACGGTGCTGGGAGGAATGACGAACGGCACAAGTCATTCCCGGGATAGCGATTCACAGGAAAGCGAAGAAGCCGCTGAAGCCGTAGAGCGGCAGGGCAGCATCGAAACAAGCATCGATATAGAAGCGGTGCCGGAAGGAACGACGAACGGCACTGGTCATCCCCACTGCAAGTCACAGGATAGCAAAGAAGCGGCTGAAGCTGTAGTGCGGCGGGGCAGCATCGAACGAACGATCGACGAAGAGACCGCCGTGACACATCAAAGCCTCGGCAACGGCTCAGGCGCATGCGCTCAAGGGGAATGCGCATCGGTGGGCGCACAGGTGCCAGATGCTGCCGGCTGTTCGACTGCAAATAGAGAGAAATGGGTGCGCAAAAGTTTGAAGAAACTGATGCCTGGCTCGCTGCTGCATTTGGGAAAGCCCACGGGGAGTCGTTTAGGTTAGAAAGTAGGAAAAATGGGAGCCTTAGGAAGAAAATAGGTTTGTAAGATGTTTTAGGGTTGGAGGTTAAACGGATATGTAACACCCCGGGCGCAGCGCATCCCAGCTGATAGCACGGGAACTCCTTGAATGGGCCATACGGGTGAGCACGCGGCACACCAGTTGCCACCAGCGCAGTGCTTTCTGTGCAATGTTGACGTTTTCAAGGCTTCTGAAGACTTCGCACCGTGGGTTCCCAGAACGCTGCCGACAACAGCCAAGTATCAGCAGAATTGGGACGGCAGCCCAAGCATTTCTCAACTACAGCAGGATAGGCGCGTGCAGGGAGTGACTACAGTCCGGATGGTGTCTGGCCAACTGCAATCGCACTGGAATTCGTGCAAGATGCATGCAGGTCCCGTTGAACCTACGGGACCCCACTCGGGTTTCATTTGCCTCAAAGCGACCAACGTGCGCAGCAACCCGCAACAGGCGATTCGGGCGCCGCCCATGCTCAAGCAGCCAGCGCACTGCCCAAGGTCATGCCGTTCAATTCTTGCTGGCGATCTGCAACGCCGCAGCGAGCAGCATGCGTTCCGAACAGCACCGCAACGACTTTGTTCTGGGAGAGTAAACAGCTGGCCGCCATCCACAGCAGGATCGCGTTCCAGTGCAAATCGTGCGCCACAGCAAAGGCGGCTGCGAGCACAACAGTATCAACGCGCTCTCTTTATAGATAAGAACGGTCCACAAACAGCGTTCCTAACTTGGCCCTCCTTGGCCATCTGCACCCACCCATCCGTGCGTCTCATCATCGAATTCTCACACAATATTGCAAACTTGACCCTTGCCTTCTTCATCCCCATTCCCGCGGCTTGCGGCCCTCCACCCTGTCCTCGCTGCAACCTTTGTGCTGTCACAGGTGAACGACCCGATCCCTGTGACGGTCAATGTTGCCGCGCGTCAGCACCGTGCATTGCTCCCACGACAGCGGCTTCTTTGTGAAGGGACACCGCTTCTGCTCCGCCAAGACGGCCTTCCAGGTGGCCATGCCCATGACGTGGCCATAGGGCGAAATCGCGGGAGTTCTGACGGGCTCCAGGGTGATGGGGTCGATCAGGTCGGGAATCGGGTTGTCCTCGTCCTCATGCAAGCCATCCTCGCCCTTCTGGACGCACCTGCAAGAAAGAATGGATTGGGGTCATGGAAGCATCGTGAGCCAGCCACCAGACAAGTGCACAGACAACACGGTTGAGAAAACACGTTTTGGCCCTGCGTGCAGACACATGGAGCAGTGCCCATGCACTGTCATCAGCAATTTCAAATGGTTTGAGGACAGACCGACAGAATGAAAAAGGGGAAAGAGTTGCCATTGGGAAGCTGGCCATTGAAGGCAGGACCAATACCATCGGTTGTTCCCGACATTGTCTGAGAGGTAAGGGAACTGTTGGGGCACTGATTCCACATGCGGGGATGATGCGGTGCACACAATGAGGATGTACACTATCAGTTGCCCATTCCTGAATGACGCTTGGACATTCGGCTTCTGAGATTGCACATTTCTGTTCGTGCGCAAGGCAACCACCTCAATGCCGCACTCAGTGCCGCGTTCTCTTCGACCTCACTGCCTGTCGTGCATGGGCACAGGTGCAATCCCGGCAGCAGCACCAGCACCAGCCCGCAGGTTTGACGGCGAATTTACGAGTAAGAGCTGGACACAGTGACCAGCATCAACGGAGCAGACCGTGCGTCCAGGCGCCATGTCGGACCTCAAGGACCGCTGGAAGCAATTAAGAAGATTCAGCGAGCAAGAATGGGAAGGAATGGACGTCAGTTGGCACACCTGTTGCGGTAGCGCTCCCCCCTGCACAGAGTAGACCACCTGTTCCCCTTGTAGTCGCCCTCCTCTTCTACGTCCGCGTCTGCCTCCGAATCATCGTCCTCGCTCCAGCCGTTCCGACGCTTCCTGCTGCTCCCCCCCCCTCGAGTGGCTCTGCGTGACCTTTGAGGACCTTGCTGAACGCCAGGCACACTCAGCCCAGCCGCGGCTGCTTGGCGATCCACCTTCCCTTCCCTGGGTGCTTTCACAGTCTGGCTTAATCTCAAGAAACATGAATGCAATTTATCCAGCTTGTGCGAGGCAGCTTGGCCCTCTCCCCCTCCCACAACCTCCAATACATTTACGCACTCACCCAGCAACCAGATTCTGTGACCAACTGCTGACACAGTTGCAGGAGCTGCTCATATGCTGTCGAATGTGCACAAAGTGTTCCATCAGGCAGATAGGACAGCTTTGGCCTTCTGGTGACCTTTGCGTGCTGGAGTAAGTAACGGTTAACGTGGACAGCCATGATGATAAGATCTGTACTTCTGCAAAGATGTTTCGAAAATGCAAGCACAAGCAGACAACATCTTGGCAAACAAGCATTCCCCTAGCATGTGGTGTGTTTCCACTCACCAGTATGCTGTACATCTATGCTGAGGGTCCAAGGCCTCGATGTGCTGAACAATGTCTGGCTGTATGAGGCCAAAGTACTCAGGGCCCGCAATGGCTGTCTTTGGAGGCGGTGGCAGGTCCTCGCCAGCCTTGCGCCGCCTATCTATTTCGCCATTAATCCTCTTGAGCACCTGTTTTTCATCATCCACAATGGCCTTGGCTCCTCCACCACACGGCAGGTGACAGTTGGGCACAGTTGTGTATTGTTTTAACCATGTACCTGAATACTTTAAGCCTCTCCAGAGCAACAAAGCTGGCTGTTGGCAGTATAAATGCATGGCAGTGCGTTGGCGAGCTGTGAATTCCAGAAGTGAAGGCCAGAAGCCTGTAGTGCCAGTTCTTTATTATATTGGCAACTGCGAATTCAGCCCCAGACAGCAGATCACATCGCAGTTGAGTCAGAGTGGGGGAGTTTTGTCAGAAGTGATATGAAGTCCAGTGCTAATGGACATGGACCACTGTGCTGCTGCAACATGCATATGTGTGAGACAGTCCTGTGATTGTTCAGGCTAAAGATGGAGCTCGAGGGTTATCGCTTTGGGACATATATGGGCAACCTTTGGTTTTGAGCGAATGAGATCATCAAGGAACGAAAAAGCTTTTGAAGGGGACAGAATAAGCTTGAAAGAAGCTCGGGCCCCAGGGTCCACTCATGACTACAAAGAGAGTCTGCTGAATAAATGCTCGCACAGGTTGTAATACCCACTGCACAAATTAAAAAGGTTGCTGTGTGCAACAACTATGAGGAAATGCAAGATTTCTTGTTGTACAGTGTATGGCGATCACTCAAAGCAATGTCATATGTTGCAAACAGTCATTTTCTCAAAGTGCTGTCAGCCTATCACAGGCGATTTTCCAAGGACTCCTCCGCTTGCTGTACTCACCAGTGTCCAACACCCCGTGCAGCTCTTAGCAATAAGTGGGTCATTTGGTCGATCGAGGGCAGTGACCCTGAAAGTGGGAAGGGGAAAAAACTTGCCGCCTTTGGCTATAATATCACATTCATGGACACACAGGGCATTGAGGTCAACAGAGCTGCGGAACGTCAGACGAGACTTGAAGCCCTCAGGGAAGATGTAGCCCGAATTGTGCCAGTGCTTATCCACCCTGCCATCGCAAACAGGTGCTATCAGACAGGACTGTGACTTCCAGAATGTGATGCATGGTGGACATGACTATTGATCCCACCATGACAAATGTGGATACTCCGTTCCAACTGCATGGGTCAACAGCAAAACAGTCAGCCCTCACAACATCAAGGACATGACATTTATTTTTTGCTGCTGCACTGTCGGTGTCCACGTTGTTTGTGACTACTTCACATCGTACCCATGGCAAGCCAAAGTTGGACAAGTTTGTAAGTACGACATCCACAAAGCACATCACACCTCAACGTTCCAACCTCCACCAGTTCGGCACACTTGTGTCCTTTCTGTTTGACACGGCCACGGCATGTGTGGCCTGTCCGAGAAATGGCCCGGCCAGCATGGCCTGCCCCTCCTGCAACGAGGAAGCACAACCCATTTAGTTATGCATTCAATCGCACATTGCCCAGCCGTTGGAAAGTGCAGAGAACTCAAAGCTCCTGTACATTACCACAAGTGGCAGCGAACCCTTGAACAGACTGCCGCTGCTTGGACAAGCGGGTTATTGCAGCTGTGCTGAATAGAAGCCAAGGCAGGGGAAGCAAGACAAGAAGTGGGCATGTACAATAGCCACAAGCTCAGTGAGACCAATGCACGCACCTGCAGATGGTTTATTGGCCAGCTTCTTGTCGTCTGTGTTGGGTGACTGATTTTCCTGCTGGGACGTTTCACCGATCACTCTGCCACTGCAAGCACCCTTGTCGCTGGCACCAGGGGATGCTGCAGCCTTTTCCTGATGGCCGTTGCTGGCCTGTGGACTGGCACACACATTCTTTTTGGGTGAAAGTGCTGCACTGCCTGACCGCGTTTGGCTGCCTTGTTTTCCAACACTGCTGGGATTCGGAGAGCGTGGGGATGCAGACTTCAATGCGTTTGTAGGAGATTTTGCTGCTGAAGCACTCTTCTTGCTGCCTGAAAACACAATCAGAACAGGGTAACCACCATTCGTCATTTTAACACTGTTAAGCAAACTGTGGCAGTGGGGCACAGCAAGGGCTTGGATGCGAAACTGGACACTCACGTCGTCTTGCACTTCTGGCAGACTGCTCCCCCACATCGAAATCTTCATCGCTGCTGAACAAGGAAGTTCTGACGTCTTGCTCTGCAGCAGTTTTCCTCTTCTTCTTGGCACTTGCCTTCACATTCTTCTTTCCCAGGTTGCCGCCAGAAACTGGATTGTCTCCCGTTGTACACCGCTGCTTGCTCGATCCAGGGCTCCCCACACCCACAGCAGCAGCTCCTCCAGATGATCGTCTCCTTTTTTGCAGCTTCTTTACACTGCTCGGTGTCCCAACCGACTTCTTGGCACTTGAGCCCCTCCTCTTCTGCACACCCTTCAAGGGGGTCCCCTTCAACGGGGTGCCCCTCTTGCCCCTCTTCTTTGGTGCCTTTGCCACGATCGGCTGGCTGCCTTCCGAATCCACCTGTCCAGCAACACCGGCACGCCCCTTTTCCTCTTTCATTGAATCCCCCCCCCAAACAGCCCCACAGTCAGAGTCATGAGATGCCATCTTCTCCTCCAAAGTTCCATTCACGGCAGTGGGACTCCCCTGCCTGCCATCCATTCTCGATCGCAGCCGCTTCTTGCCCCAGTTTGGCGCTGTTTCCTCCTTTGCACTCTCCATTTCCACATCTACCCCACGCCTCTTTTCTTCGACAGTCAGCAACCCCTTTCCATCAGCCTGTGCTCCCCCAGTTCTCATCCTTTTCTGCCCCCAGGCAGCAACGTCCTCGTTCATGGTGACCTCAGCTTTGACAGCTGGCTGCACGTCTCCCACAGACTGCCCCTCTTGCTGATTGTCACCAGCATCAGCATCGTCAACCTTTTCTTCCCCGGTCTCAGTTGCTTCCTCTGGTGGTGCTTCGCCGCCCTCGTTGCTGCCAAGATTCCCTGTGTCTTCCGTGGGTTGCTCATCAACCTCTTCTGTGGCATCTTGCTTGCCTGTCGCGTCTTGCAAGCCTCGCTTCCCGCGAGTACGCTGAACCTTGGCAAGCTGAATGGGTCCCAACCGCGACTGGAAACGTCCAACAAACACACCGCCCTCAAGGTTGGCTGCCTCTCGCTTTGGTGCCCTTCGGGGTGGATTGGTTGGGGCGGCGGACTGGGCGCGGCCTGAACAACGAGGCAAAATTCAAACAGGAGACAAAGCATCCCACCAACAGAACCGCAGTCAAGGCTGCTGCCACACAAATAAATAAAAACAAACAAAAGCAAATTGTTGGGAGCGCTTCTGGAGTTGCATGACGGTGAGAGCAAGCCTGTTTCTCGATGGTGTGACTTGTCCACTTCAGAAACATAGTGTCCTGCCTGATAAATTGGGGCTGTGGAGCAGCAGATGCACATTATGCACAGTCAAACACAAATTCTTGGTTCTTGCTACCAGGTAGCCCTAGAACAAAGTGCCAGCTGCATATGTGGCATAGAAATGAGTCAGAAGTCAGGAGCCACTAGTCAGGAGTTCTTACCTGCAGGCTTTGAGGATGGTGGCTCTTTATTTGGGACCCTGGATTTCAGAGATGCTTTGAAAGTGGGATCAGATGTCAAAAGGAGTGCAGCCTCATCTTCCCTGGCCAGGAATACGCAACAGTGGCTTGGTTCAATACACTGTGCACTGGATTTCATTGTGGTGCAGAGGCAACTCTATGCCAAGCTGAATGAATTGTTCGCTTCTTAGTGGGGGGTGAATTTTTGTGGCACAAAGGGTGAGGACTTCTGTGCACACAAGCCAACATTGTAGGCTGGAAGCAACGAAGCACAACCATTCCCTCACAGGTACTGCAGGCCCTAGCAACAAGCAGGCAGCAAGCAATCAGCCTACCTTCCACCACATTTACGCAATGCAGCCTCAGCCTCATCATCAGATATCTCTGGGCACACTTGCCGCAATTCATGCACCTGGCATCCAGCAAATAATCTTTGAGTGCGTTGTGGGACATTGATTGTTGCGTTGTTTCAGGTTTGCGTTGTGTTTTAACTTGTTGGAAAATACCCTCCACAATTGCCTCTGCAGGCATTCTGTTGCACATGTTTGGCACTGTTAGTTTGTCAAACCTTTCATCCACAAGAGGACATTTTGTAGCGTTTTTCTTGCACTAAACAATTGGCTCAGGCGACCCATAATATTGCAAGATTGTGGAGTCGAAACTGCAACCTGATGGGAATCACTGACACCTTTCTTGCCCTCTCACGCTTCTCATACTCTGCCAACATCTTCCGCTGAAGTGCTACCTGTATAATCACAGCGAGCGATTGATCAGATATGCTGTGATCCCTTTAAATGTCAGACTAAAGCTGCAGATTCTCTCAAGAACACACTAGATTTTCAGCATGGTGGTCAACCCAGTGGGCGACTGAAGCAAACACAGCAGGTCCATGGAGGATTCATTCATAAGAACAAGCTACCATGGCATTATACTTGGCCCCAAGATCTAAAGCAGCTACTTCAGGGTATTAAGTTTCTTTGAAGGGATATGGTGGTGTGCACGGAGATCACCACAAAATCACGATCTTACAAACAGTGTGGGCTCGTTCTGAGGAAAGACGCAATTGGGTGCCAGCAGGCAGGTGCTGTGGCACACAACTGGCATTGATCCACTGTCACTCTGGAGCACGGGATGAAATTGTGTCTGGAACGAAGTAGCAACCCATTGTGGATGGTAAAAGGGGATTGCGACATTGTGTGAATTCATTGGAGGGCCTTTCCAGCTGAATTACAAAGACAAACAGCAGAGGTAGCAGCATTACTGCACTTGACTGTCTACCTACCCTCTTGTCAATGATCTCTTGCTCCTGATCTGTCAGGTTCCTGGCGTCCAGCTGCTTGAACCAATCATCGCACCTGTTCGATGGCAAAGGTCAGGCATCCTGCAGGCCAGTTTTCTTGAAGCCCTTGGGGCGTTCGTCCAGTACACAGCCATGCCACGGGCAAGCCACAGTGGATATCACCGCTCGTCCACTCTCGGCGAATGGCGCCAAACTCGGACTCCGGTGACACACTAGGCCATGATTCGCGCCTCCACTAAAAAGGAATGCGTGTGGTACACTGGCCTCCCTTACGCAACTGGCGCGTTGAGGATGAGCAGACTTTCGCGAACGTCTATTGTACGACAGAACAAGGCGAGGGAATGTCACGAAAGGAGCACTGCAAACCATTTATTAGGCGAGACACGGCGCTGGCTGAGGCTTGTGGTCGCTGGGCACATCGTCGCGAGGATCCCGCCTTCATGAGGGTGTTGGCCGCGAGAGCGGAACCATGATGCAAGATGGACACCCCAAATTTGTCGCCTTAATTAATGCCAACGAGTGTTGGGCAATACAGGACACAAACTTGCGACTGCCCGCGCGTTCGAAGTGCGAAATTAGCGATCCCCGTCGGAATTGATAGCGAACGCAAAGAGCCGAACAAGACTGATTGAGGGGGGAAACATGTGCCCAGGCGGTCTCCAGACAGTGCCGCCCTACGTCAAGGGGCCGAAACTTCGTTCTGAATCTTACAGGCCTGGTCAGGGGCTCAATCAGGAGGGCGCGGAAAGGCTGGCCAGTGGCTGCCCACCTCCTCGTCTCGATTTCTGCGTTCCCGGTCTCGAACATCTCCGCCAGTTTGCCCTCCGCGCATCCCCCATCGCCTTCCCCTCCGCCATCGGAGCCCCCCATCGTCAATTCGCCGCCTGCGGCCGCCCGCAAAAATGGCGGGGTCGCGGCGGATGTCCGGAGCCCAGGGACTGATCACGCAATGGGACAGACTCGTTCCCGATGCTATCGGCAGCGCCACGCCCTGATAGAGAGGAGAGGGATCCCGGCCGCCGCACGAACCGTGGCTGGACACGGGGCCAAACGCTGAGGGCAGGGGGCGGGGCAGGGCACTCGGGCAAGCCCGCGACCGCTCCAGCAACAGGAATGCCAACAACCGCGGTTTTCGCGCGCAAAGCCGGGCTCAGTGACGTGTCAGCCAAGACAACGCCGCCATTTTTCAAAGGCTAATTAAGTCATTAAATAAACATTATTAAATCATGAAGTCATTAAAGTGGCACCGGAGGTGCTCTCCGTGCCCGTGCGTGTCACGGTGCTGTAAGTCCTTGCTGGCGGGTGAAAAAGAGCGCTGTCATCGTACGGCCAGTCGGTGGCCATGGCTCCATGTAGTGGTTTGTGTCGACCGCGCCTGCTTGGCTTGGGCCTTCGAAAGGGCACAGCACCAGGTATCAAGAACCGCCCCGCGCTTGCCCTGGTGAAGGGCGCGCTGCGTCCGCCTTCACGTCTGATCGTTTGGTTCATCCAGTTGCCGTCAATGTGCCTTTGGATGGCATCCAAGGCCATCCACGCTACGGGTTGCGCAGTTGTGGCCACCTGGCTCCTGTGATCGTGTGCCGCTTTCATTCTTGCGTTTGAGTCTGGATTGCGAAAGCGGTTGAGAGAGCTTGCTGTTTTGCTGTTTGAATATTCGACGAACAGACACAGCACCCCCATTGGTTTTAAGATCCCGATCTGTGACCGCCATGGTGTGTGAAGTGTGAACGGCTTTGTGGGCCACGGCGCGTGGCGTATGAACTGCAATGTGGATAGACGCAGCTTCAGAGCGCGCATCTGATCGAACTGTTGCTTGTCGCTTGTTCTTTTCTGCCTGCAACAGGTCGTCCTGGACGGCTCGTCGATGGCAGCGAGCGCAGCGCTGGATCGCGGGCATTGACGCCGACTCAACCCAGGTGAAGCTCGGCATGTTGGCTAGCATCGGCGAAGGGTTTCTCGGAAGGTGAAAACTGCACATCCCTATGTTGTGCCCATCGCCGATGCTAGGAAGGTGCCTTGCCTGATCCCAGTTCACCTAAATTCCAATGCCTTGAATCCCAAATCTTCCCCCCTCAGCATCAAACCCTCACACCCTACACCCATCCACCGCCACCCACCGAGCGACAGCAGGAAAGGGGCGTGTGCACAATGGAAAGAGGATCTGGGCTTTGCCGGGGATGACTCTGAATCATGCGCTCAATCGCCAACATTCTTCCCAACCTCATCGACACCCCATGGTGATATCGGAAAGCAGAATATTTATGCTTATATACTAGGCTCTTTTTTCATCGCTCGGACGCATTCCTGCGCCATCATGGTCATTCAAGGATCAATGGCAGCCATTGGGCCCAGTCGAGTGCTGGCACCACAATGTCTGGTCAGTTGGAGGTACCCAATGGCCACGTTGAATCGCTTCGGAAATAGCCATAGAGTGGGCCTTAGTCCACAGCCTGGCTCACCCCCAACCTCAGGGGGTTGAATCCCTTTTGCTGTTCTCTCCACCTCAGCCCCGGAGAATGCAGGACTGCACATGAGAACAGCAAGACAGTGAGTGCAGGCCTTGTAATATTGGCCTCCATTGCTTTGTCTGGGGACGAGGGCGTTTAGTCTGTCCAAGGCGATTCCATGAAAGTGGATGTCCGCACTGCCACAACATCAGCAGTGCTCTTGTTCTGCATCTGGAGTTTGTCTGGACACTGTGGAGAACACCATGCTGCTGTGCCCAGGATTGCCACCTCCTCCCTGGCCTCCCGATTTTTGTCATACTTGAGGTCAACGTCTGGGATGGGTGTCACAGAGCTGGTTATGTCAGATGTTCTGGAGGTCCATCGAGTCCCCTGTCTTGTTGACAACTATGCATGGCTACTGCACGAGCCAAAGGCCGGCCTCACTGCAATTGTGGACCCTTCAGAGGTGCAGCCTGTGGTCGAGGCACTCCGTAAAACGTGTGCGCACATGCCCCAACGCGGTGACATTCTTGCAGTGTGGACGTGACTTTGCATTTTGTGGCAGCAGTGTTACTTGCAGTAAAAGTGACAGTTTTCTGGAATTCATCAACATCATTCTCTTGCTTATGGCAACAGCAGTTTATATTTAGGGAGCGCAGTGCCCAGCAACAATGTATGTAACGCACAAGTAGGGGTGCCGAGAATCGCCACAATGGCCCAGTTCTGTGAGAAGTCCATCAGCTCAAGCACCTGCCATTTTGCTGTCTGTCTGGCAACCTTACACTGGCGCTGTATAATCTCCACATCCTACCCTGCCTACGTACTCATATTCGCCAGCCATTTTGCTCGTCTCCAGTGACTTCCACATCATCATTTGCAGCAATTTTTAGGAGCCCCAGTGCAACAATCGTTTGTGTATCAATGCTGCCCTGCACAGCAATGCAGGGGGCTTGCAAGTTTTTGATCCGATTATGGTGTGTTTTTTTGCACCAGCCTCTCACCATAGCTCCCTTCACATTCATCCACAGCGATGCACAGCTTCCTGCTCAAACAGTCCTTGCATTTCCACAGAGGGAAAAGAATGGAAAAGAAGCCTGCAGTTGCAGGATGGGAAGTCACTCTGTCAAGTTGGAATCAGTGCCTGAGTGGCTTCCATCATGACACCTTGAAGGCCCAGGAACTGTGTCTCTGCCTTCTGCACAATGTTGTGTGTCTTGAATGCATTGCAGTGGCTACAATTTGGACTACATCATAAACACACACCACCACTGGGACCACACGGGAGGCAACATAGCCCTGAAGGACAAGTATGGGTGCCGGGTCGTGGGCCCAGATGCGGACAGAAGCCGCATACCCCGCATTGACATTTCCTTGAAGGATGGCGAGACCTGGAAGTTTGGGGAACTGGATATGGTCACCTTCGACACTCCAGGGCACACCATGGGCCACATGTCTGTCTATTTTCCCGAGGCGGCAGCCGTCTTCACTGGTGAGGCACGCATTAGCCAGCATAAGTAGCATTGCACATCAGTGCCATTGCGCCTATTGGCCGTTGTTGGGCGATGTTGGTAAGAGAGGCATGTTTTTCTGTGCTTTATTCCATTGTTCATGTTCCTACCTGTGTACACTGTTGTGCCTGTGCATGCATGTCGTCTGGCCAAATGTGCAGTGGACTCAAGAGGCTCTCTCTCAGCCGTATCCGATGCTGGCAAATAGCGCGAGCGCATGCAGGTTTGGAGTAGTGTCATGCACGAGACCTGTGATGACAAAAGTGTCCTCCATGTGGGGCATCCAATTGGGACTCTGCTGCACAGTAATGCATCTACACGTTCTCTTGAGTGTGGACCATTTTTTGATGTGCCTGATCTGACCAAGTATTGTGATGTACAGAACTCCCATCTGCATGGCGCAACATGCACCAGAATTTTCAGGGGTTCAGAACCTTAATTTCAGATCACCTTAGACGTGACCACGAAGAAAACCCTTTTCTGCTGTTTGACGCATTATTCTCCCACATTTTGGTGTGTTTGACAAAATTGGCGATGTCATTTTCGGCAGCACAGTAGAGGCGTTGGGATCGCCCACACTGAGCAGCCCCCCCACAGCATGCCATGTTGGGCAGTTGTTGTTGTTGCTCATGTGCTCACGTTCGCAAGACATGGCCTTTTGCAGATACGACTGAGATCATTTTCCTCTTCTGTAGTTGGCAAATGCACATGCGCACTGATGCCATGATTGTGACCAACAATACCATTCCTCAGCCACTCGTTTTGTCCTGCGCAAACACGTTAACCTTTTCTACGGAAGCAAGCATCTGAATTTGTGGAATCCCAGATTGCAGAAAGTTGCACACAAGCAAGGATCTCTGCTGCATGCATGCAGTTTTGCCACTCTCGATGATGCCCTTGGCAGCACGCATTGTTCCACTGTTTTTGTGTGCATGGCCCTTGGCACAGGTGACACGTTGTTCGCCATGGGCTGTGGTCGGCTGTTTGAAGGAACTGCGCAACAGATGTGGGCGTCGCTTTCCAGGCTTTCTTTGCTCCCACCCGAGACGAAGGTCTTCTGTGGCCACGAGTACACACAAGCCAATGCGAGGTACGGCGCACAGGGTGAGCGATACCAAAGCCACCCTCATTTTCTGGAGAGAAATGAAGCTTCAGAAGCAGCGCGATAGAGCATCACTGTCGTGCACATTTTTGCTTGTCAAGCAAAAACTGGGCCAAATACACGGTTTCGAACGGTGCAGAAATCGTGTAAAACCGTGTCAAAACGTGGAAAAGTCATGTAGACTCGCTCGGTACGCGGTTGAGTCCCATTTTGTTACGATGAATACACGATTTCACACGATTTTTACGCGATTTGCAACCGTGTTGCACGGTAAACGATTTTGAAAACCGTGTATTTTGGCCTGCTTTTTCCCAGTGGTTGTGGCTATATTTGCATGCCTCCAATTGTGTCTCTGTTTAGGCCCCCTCGTAAACGTAGAGGGGATCGTTGTGTGAACGATATCGTATGACAGCTTCAGAGGCCTAAGCCCTTTGACATGGAAAGAAAGGCCATTGCTGGGGCATGACTTTTTCCAGGGAAAGAAGCCATTTCCGCGCGCTCTGTGTGCATGCCGCAGTGGGAGGACGTGCAGGTGCTGAGTCGAGTTTCAACACATGAGACTGAGTGTGCTGTGACAGATTTGCAATTTCGGTCGACTCGGAAAACCCAAAGCTCATTGAGCGGAAGAAAGTGGTGGATGAGATGCGCAGCAAGGTGAGTACAGCCATCGGCTACTTCGGTCGATGCGTTGTCCAGGGATGTTATGCCCACGGCCTTGCCTAAGAGCTGCCTTGACTCTGATCCAGGTAATTGCCGACATAGTCCCATGCAGCCATGCGTGTCATGTATTGTACACAAGTGAAGGTTGCATGGAATGGATGACAGCTGCTTTGCTCCTGGGTTGTGCCGCTGAAACGACATGCACGTCCGTGGCGAGTTTCGGCCGTCCCCAGGCTGGAACCAGAATTGCTCACATCAGCGAGTGTTCGTTGCTCTTTTCGGCGATACTCGCTTTGAACACACTGTTCTTAAGCTGCACAGTAGATGTATAGTCCCAGGGGCAATTGCCAGAACACGACATGTCCTGACTCGCCTGCATTCTGTCGGGCATAAAATTACTGGCTGCACCAAATCGCTGACTGCTTGCACCAAGTGACGTGCACATCATGTCCAACTCCGTCCAAACTAACCCAACCTAAAACCTAAACCCTAAAACCTAAAACTAAACCTGTCCTAACCCTAACCCTAAAACTCAACCTGAAACTAAACCTATCCCTAAAATTGAGGTTAGGACAAAGTGTGCACGTGACTTGGTGCAAGCAGTCACCGATTTGGTGCAGGCAGTAATATTATTTCCATTCTGTCGCACGTCTCATGCACGAGCTCTGCCACCTTGCGCACTGCGCCATGCCCAGCACGAGCCATCATATTCATCATATTATTTGATCTTTGGTTCGGTTAGTAGTTTTGCCTGGAGGGTATCCAAGTTTTTAGAGTCCCTTTCAGGGTCTGGCGACGGTGCCGTGCACGATAGCAGAGGAGCGGGACACGAACCCCTTCCTCAGGGCTCCCGACGCAGCTGTGAGGGCGAAGACGGGTGTGCCGTCAGGGGCTCCGGATGCAGAGGCGTTTGCAGCGGTGCGGCGTGCAAAAGACTCCTTCTAGGCGGGGCGCACTTGCGTAAGCGCATAGTGTTCTCGTGGCTGGGAACTGGTCCTCGAGGCATGGAGGTTCAGCGTGGACGTGTTGCTTTTGTTGTCGATCGCCCTGCTGAGCCGCGCCCAGTGTGGGAAGCGTCCTGGTGAATAAGATGAGTTCTGAAGACGCAAGAGGGATGGCCGTTGGTTTGTGCTGGACTGCAGCAAATCGGCAGTGCAGCAGACGAAAGGTAGCATTTGAGCTGCAGCATGTTCTCAGGGCGCAGGTCCTCAGGTTGAAAGTGAAGGGGTGGCATTTTGATATGCATAGAGCTGCTGCTCTGGCAAATGAGGCCACATGGTATTAACATCGGCTCCAGTGCACCTTAGCGCATGTTAGGGAGCCTTCAGCACTATCAGAACCATACATGGGGTATATTGGGATCTTACCAAGCATTGTGTAATAGGTGGGAAGCAGTGGGTTGTCGTACCTTGATAAACGTTATCAAAGCCTCACCCTGGAATCGTCCTTGTCCAATTGCACTGGGCACGATCAATGCCCTTCTGCGACATGGATCAAAAATGCATTCGTACAGCAGGCGGACGGATTACTGGCTCCCAGTTCTTGTGCGTGCAGTCGACCTGACTTCATGGCAAATCGTGCCCATTCACATCCTCGATACCTTCTAGATCAGAATCGCAGAGTGTGACATCAAGCCACATTGAGTCATGTTGCTTGTGACGTGGCACAATGCAGAATCGGTGTGGTTTCCACATTTGTGCAACATGGGCCGCTGCGGCCCGTCCTCGGGGACATCACCTGTGCCTTCCGCAGTGCGTTGCAATCATGGTGCACGTGCTGGTGGGCGCTGCATGGTGAAAATGTGACGGCGAGGGATTGTCAAAGCACTGCTGCCGATGCGGGGAAAGCCCCAGAGTAATCTGACCGCATTGTGTATCCCAAGTGCGCGCCATCGCATTAGTGGAAGATGCGTGGCAGCGTGTGTTTTCTGTTCGTCCATGGAGCACCATCCCAGCTGGGTTCTGCTTTCGTCGCAATCCACATCTGTTGCTGTTCCCAGAGAGCTGCAGCGCCGCGCGAGAACCGCGCTTGCCAATGCCTATCGCCCCGTTCCCACACCATTAGGTAGGAACGTCGGTTGGAACGCGTTCCCCCTCGGACAAACTTGTCACCCAGGCGTGACTGATGGCGGTTGGAAAGGTCCAACGGGCCACCCACCTGCGAAATCGCAAGGGAAGCCGCCCCCGTACCCACTGCGGGCATTCACACCAACCGCAGGCAGGCCCCCCACTCCCCCCCGGCGCTTCCCTTCGCCAGGCAGCCGCCCGCCGGCGAGGCCGCGGGGAGTTGCAGCCTCGCGCGCAGGCGGCCATCCCGAGGCTGGCTCCCATGACGCCCGGTGACGCCCCGCCGCCCGACGACTTGGCGGACGACGAGGAGAACAGGGAGGAGAACAAGGAGGAGAACAGGGAGGAGATCCCGGCCGGTCGGCAGGACTGGTGGCTGGACGTCTTCAGGAATGGGGAGACGGACAAGGAGCCGGAGCTGATGAAGTGCCTGTCGTGCGGACGAGTCGTGCTGGCGTCGAGGTTCGGGGCCCATGTATGTGACCGAAGGCAAAGAGGGGCCCAGAGCAGGCGGGGACAATCGGCAGAGGCGGCCCAGGCGCCCAGGAGGCGCCCAGCCAGGAGGTTGAGGCAGGGCGGGCCGAAGGATCGGGTGTCCGTGGCCGTGGCGGGAAGAAAAGTGACAAGGGCGGAGAGGGAAGCTGCTGAGGAGAAGGGGGAGAGGAGTGAGTGCGGGGCGATGGGAGTGGAAGGGGGAGGCGCGGGAACGGGGGCGGGGGAGGGCAGCGGGGGAGACAGCACAGCAGCGGGCGAGGGGGGCGGGGCGAGCCGCGATTCCCGTCGCGCGAAAAGGGGGGCCGAGGATCGCAATGAGGCGCGAGGGATGGAAGAGGGACACGTGGGCGGGGAGGTGGCGGGGGTACAGTCAGCGTTTGGGCGCGAGAGGGGAGGGCAGGCGGATCATGGGCACTCGGGTGGTGGGTGGCTGTGGAGGTTTGCGGAGGGAGCTGCTTGCGGGGCCGGGCCCGGGGGATGTTCCGAGGCGGCCGCCCGCGAGGGCGTCGGGCCCGCCGCTGGGAGTCCGGAGGCCGGGGATGGAGCGGGGGGAACGGAGATGGTGCGGCCGCCTGGGAGCGTGCTGGCGCCGGTGTTGGGGATGGCAAGGGGCGGTGGCGTGCCGTGTTGGGCGGGCGCGGAAGGCGGTGTGAGGGGCGAATGTCTGGGGGAATGGAGCCACCTGCTGAACGGGGAGGGGGCGCTGGTGTTCCCGCGGTGCGCGAGGAAGCGGAGGACTAGCAGAAGGTGCGCCTCTCCAGCATCGTTGCTCTTTCCTGTCTATTTGCAGCCCAGCAGTACATTTGGGGCCATCGTGCTGATTGCGCTGTGCCTGGTTGTGGAGGGGCTGTGGCGCGGTGCTGTGGGTTGTTTCTCGTTTGGCACGCGAGCCGTTTGCTGCGTGAAAATGGGGCGGTGGGTTGTGCGCCCTGTTGCAGCCATGGTGCTCTGCGCGAGTGGTGGAGGTGCACGACTGGAAGTTGTGGCCCCGGTGCGGCCTCTTCGGGTAATACCCTTTCGATCAAATTCATAGAATATGGCAGATGCTGCACATGCTGGTTGGTGCAACGCCTGACAGCCTTTTTGCCAAAGAACACTTGTCCCACCATAGCTGAGTTTGTCTCTGTGACCCCAGAGCGGCAAGTGCTGTGCTGCTGTATCATACCACATTCCAGACCATTGGCCGTTGTACTCTGGTGGATAAAGGGATCGGAGGGATGGCACTGATTTTGACCACAGCCCACTTGACTTTTGTAACTGAATGTTGCTTCTTCTTTTGCAGTGTGCTCAAACTCGCCAGGTCACGTCAGGTGCGCCAGCCTCGACTGCCACACACTGACAACAGTTCTGACGTGTTAGTCAATGCGGCACCAATGTGGTGCCCATACCCGGTCGAGAGGCTTGAAGAAGTTTATGGAAGCACACATCAGAATGTGATTATCTTGGGCTTTGGGTAATCTGAGGCGTAGGGATCCATGTCAGAAGGGGGGTTGTTGTAGATCTCCTGTCTGTGTGCACAAGCAGGCAACAGGGTGCTGCCCACCTGGTTAAGCAAAAAGGGCGCTGGCCTTCGTGCCACTGTTGCTGTGGAATGAAGATCTGGTCTGGCAAGCAGGATTTGCGTGCATCACTAGGATAATAGCTACCTTTTTGATAGTTCGACTTGAAAGGGCTATTGTCGAATAAATCAGTCGTGTGCTAGTTTGAGAGAAAGGTTCCTGTAATATGCCCAAGAATTGATCTGTGCTTTGTGTCTCTTCTGGGTGACAAGGGCGTGAACTTCAACATCCAAGAGGAATGTTCGGACATGCCCTCATGGTTGTGCATGGGTGCATCTGCTGTTGATTTCTCTGCTCAAAACTTGCGAATCTCCTCTTGCGATGTTTTACTTCGGACAGTGGCGAAGGGTGGGATCGTTGTGGTCAGATTTCTGGGACGTAGCCTTCTAGAAGACGGTGGTAACGGTCACAAACAAATGGGCGTTTATTGATTCTAGTACCTGCCAAGCGAGAGACGGCTGGCTTGGGAACAGCGAAACTGACCCATCCACACACTCTGATCTCATATGTGGGAGGCAACGCGCACAGAACCGCGATCATGTATGGTTGCTGACAGCAGATGCGATCCGTTGTATGGCGGACACACAAGCGCATCTGCTGCAGGGAGGACTGTGCTTCTCATCTGATAACATGCCGCAAGCACCCTGAAACGCCATCGGAGCCCTTGCACATCTGCTTGGGCGCTTGGAGCGGCTCTCTGGTCGAGGCGCGTGAATGAGAGCTGCTCCGAATGCAGCCACCATGTCCTGCACACGGTGCCAAAGATGGGAACATCGGGATGTTCCCGTCTGTTCAACGCACGGATGTTCGACGCACGGATCCGTGCTTTGAAATGCAATTCAAGCGCCGAAAACACTGCATAAAGTGCATGCGTAACATGTGGCACTCCCTCCCAAGAAGAATACTTTGGGACCTCCACCGCTTTCCAGCGCAATGGAAGCCACCGACGGTATGAGTGAAATCGAAGCAAGGAGCGCGCATTTAAGCCACCGTCATGCTCTCCCGGGGGGTGCTTGCAGTTCAACAGAAATTCGTGACTTGTCGCAGCAGGGATGCCAGTCGTCACAGCATACGATCGTGTGACGTCATCCATCGACATGGGAAACGGTCTGAAACCTTGAGGGCAAGTAGTGCGCCGGCGTCGACAAAGGGAAGGAAACAACGTAGCAGAACTCGCGGTGTCCAGGAAAGATTCCGGAAATACAAAAGTGAACAAACCCAGTAGCTTTTTGGGCGTAGCTAGGCCCAAAAATAGAAATACAAATCCAGGGTCTCCCCAAACATATGCACTGTGACCACGTCCGTCTGTTGCTCCTGGGGAGGGCTGGAATGTGCCGTTTGTTCGCCCGCTCCTGTGGTGGCGATGATTGGCCAATTCTTGCTGTACCAAAAAAAAAAAAACACATGCGTGAGGAAATAGGGAGCATGATGACAAGGGGCAAACGACCATTACATGCCTATGTCCGTCCCCATTGCATTATTAATGCATTCTTAAAGACGTTCAATTGTAACTTAGATCCAGCGTTTGTGTCAACAATTTGCGGGGTGGGTATGATGCTACGTCGGTGGAAGTTGCTGAAGAAGAAGGCTTGCCCTCCTGTGGACGCAATGAATTAACTGATCTCGAATTGACATGTGCCAGATCTTACCTATTATGTTAGGGGCTTGAATAGGCCCGCCTTCCAATACAGATATTCAGAAAATGGGGCATGACATGACGGATTCATGTTGCTTCTAGATGCGCCAGAAGTTAATGAGTGAAGCGAAATACGCAAATATTTGCAGTGGATGAAGGAGATCCCTGTATGCAAAGGCTCCTTTGCCG